GCCTGGTGTAACGTACTACCCGAAGTCCCTATCCTGCCTTGCTCAAGAGAAACTCAATTTCGTCTCCCGAGCCAACGCTGCCTTGGTAGGTTAGCGTAGCTGTGGAAACTACTTTATTCAGGGCAAGAAACAACAGGTCAGTTCGAAATTCTTTTTGTTGTTTCTCCCCTCCTCTCCCTGTTGCTTTTGCAAAGGCTCCCTGGCGTCTTCTTGATGCTACCGTCTCCCACGCATGCTGCTCGCTTACTCTTGCAATCTTACTCTTCAAAACTTGCATGTCGTCGTCCTGGGTTGCCGAGGATGATTCCGCCCATTCCTTCAGCGTCGGAAAACATGCATTTCCAGGAGATGACAAGCTGTCGTACAGGCCGACGATGGCTCCATCGAGCCTGAGTTTGCAAGCTTGGTTTTCTGCACTCTGTCCCTGGTTGACAGTCTCCTCTAGAACTTTGTAGATGTCTTCGAGGACCACGTTTGCCTCTGGTTCTGGGATGTTGATCTCATTCTCGATCCGTTCGAGATCTACCTGAGCCCAAAGAGGCTCTGTAGGGGGTTCTGTAGCGATCGCTTCCCAGATGTTGGCACTGCCTGGCTCTAGGAGAAGAAGTTTCCCTGCCCTGTCCCATGGCGCAAAGGACCTGAGGATGTCAATCGCCGTTTCTTTTTCTGAGAAGCTGAGCACTAGATGTTCACCGTTCCAGCTGTTGGTCTCGACATCTTCTTTCGAGGAGATCTTGACGATGTGCTCAGCCGCTGACTCCTTCCAGCTCGCCACGATCCGTCTCAGTCCTCGAATTGTCATGCCCATAGAGAGATCCTCCCCGTCGCAGATCTGTTCAGCTTCCTCTCTGGTGAACCTTCCCTTCTGTGCTTTACTCTTGACCAGTACCTCATAGGTCACTCTTCGTGGTACTGCTCCTAGCGCGTCGGGCAAGAAGTCCAACCTAATTGGATGCTGTCTCGTTACCCTGGTGATTGCACTAACCTGAGTAGTGAACCATTTGAGGATTTTTTCATCTTCCGACATCAGTCCGAGGTGTATGCTTCCTCCATTCCTGTCGTCTCCCTCAAACATCCGTAGCGTGGTGCTCGTCTTTCTTCCTTCCACAGAGAGATGCGATAGCCGAGATATTTGAACGGTTTAGTAGCCGGTAGGGCTTCGACAGGTTCCCCCATGACCGTTATTTTGTTCGCACCAGGAACCTCTCCCTTGCGAGCATAGTCGAAGCTGGTTATCTCTGATTTCTTATTGTTGATTTGCAGTCCTGACCATTTGCAGAAGGAATCCACCACTGCTACCAATTCTCGCATTTCTTTCATCGTGTGTGCGATGAGTACCATGTGCGATGATGTCTACATGTGCGATGTTGTCTACTAAACCCTAAACCCTAAACCCTAAACCCCTGTCAGGGGCCCGGTGCCTCTGTCAGGGGCCCTGTGCCTCTGTCAGGGGCCCGGTGCCTCTGTCAGGGGCCCGGTGCCTCTGTCAGGGGCCCGGTGCCTCTGTCAGGGGCCCGGTGCCTCTGTCAGGGGCCCGGTGCCTCTGTCAGGGGCCCGGTGCCTCTGTCAGGGGCCCGGTGCCTCTGTCAGGGGCCCGGTGCCTCTGTCAGGGGCCCGGTCCTAAACCCTAAACCCTAAACCCTAAACCCTAAACCCTATTATTATTATTATGTGAGTTTATTAGAATGCTAGAATGTTGCTCGGCCTCGTTGTGGGCTTATGCAATTTGATCCTAGTCTAAAGAGGCGCTCGAGCACCTGGAGTACACGGCCTACAATGCGAACCCTGCTTCTGAGGCGTCTTTCTACTCTCTACTTCTGCTGTCTTCTCTTGGCTTCCTCAGCCTCAGTCAGGAGAGTTGCCTCTCCTCACCTTGGCCTTCGGTCACCACCTACTCTACCTCCATTCAGCTTCCTCAGCCTCAGTCAGAAGAGTTGCCTCTCCTCACCTTGGCCTTCGGTCGCCACCTACTCCTCCTCCATTCAGCTTCCTCAGCTTCAGTCAGGAGAGTTGCCTCTCCTCACCTTGGCTTTCGGTCGCCTCCACCTTCTCTACTTACCTTGAGCTCAGCTCAAGCTCGGTACGGGCTCGCCCCGTCTTCTTCCTCGCCCTCGCCTTGCTCTTCCTCCATGTCTTCCTCTTCTTCGTCATCTCCCCTCATCTCCACTCGCAGTCGGTCCTTCTTGTCCACCTTCAGCGAGCAGGCCAGCACATGCATCTCTGCGAATTTACTCAGTGCTATGAACAGGAAGCTAAGAGATCGACGCTCTATGTCGTCGCTCTCCGCCTCCTGCTCAAGCTCAGCAGCTGCCGTTGCCCGTGGCGAGAACGCGCTGCCCCTCCTTGCCTTCTTGCTCTCTCCTTGCACGCGAGTCCAGCGCTTGCTCTGCAGCCACTTCCCCAGCTTCTCCTTGAGAACGTTGCGCCCAACTCCCTGCTCCTCTGGCATCTTCGCCCACTCTCCCAGCGACATGAACTCCAGGCTCCCCGGAGAGTAGAAGGTGTCGTGGAGGTTGCCAACGGCCTTGTCCAGGACCAGCTTGATCGGCTCGCTCGTCCCCGCCTCGTTCAAAGAAGCTGCATCTTCGATGACTGCTGACAGCTCGCTGACGAGCTGCATGTCCTCTTGGCTTGACGGAGATGCTGCCTCCATTGTGATCCTCTCCAGGTCTGTAAACTCCAGCCACTCTCCCTCGCTCTCCTCCTGTCGCTGCGCTGCGTCGCTGGTGCCCCGCTGACCAGCCGCCTCAGAGTCAGGCTCCTTGTCGAAGCCGACTGCTTCGAGCTTGGTTGCTGCGCCTTCGAGATAGAAGGGCAGCTCCTTCATCACGCGTCGAGCATCCTCCGTGGAGCCGAGGAGGATGCATGCGTCGAGCATCCTCCGTGGAGCCGAGGAGGATGCATAGCTTGGACCCGTTCCAGGACTTGGTGTTCAAATCCTCCTCCATGTCGATGCCTTCAACGTTGATCTCGAGCCTGTTAGCGATCTCCAACAGGACTCTCTTGACTCTTGCGATAGACGTGTTGCCGCCGTTGCACAGCCCCTCCATCTCCTTCCTCGTGAAGCGACCAGATGCCGCCGTCGACTTGACTGCATCCTTGATGCCTTCTTCACCTTATTTCTGGACACAAAGCGATCAGCTGTCAACTCGACTGCGAGCGCCTCTCTGATCTTCGGGTCCTCGCTGAACAGAGTCAGGTGTACTCCCTCCATCGCTTCGCTCTCTCGGAAAGCTCGAAATGCTGTATCATTCGCCTCTGGGCAGCTCGAGGAGACGATCCACTCCACCTCCCTCTGTCTCCAGATGACGTTGGCCCCTACAGCGATGAAGCCTTTCTGACCTAAGCCTTTGTGGACTTGCTGGCCTGGCGCCCCAGCGACCAGCATGCCTGCCAGCGGCTGGAGTTGGACCGCTGCAAGGGACTGGCGCAGCAGCTGATAGCGATAGACGGCAGCTATCTCAGCCGTTGTCATGCCGCCCAAGGTTAGCAGGTGAGTCAGCTCTGCCAAGCTGCCCCCTTTGCCCCAGGGTCCTCTCTTGGCTCGAATCTTGAAAGATCGATCGTGCACGATGCTCACATGTACAGCTGTGAACTTGCGACCATCAATCGCGAAGTCCTCTCTTCCCTGCCAGAGCTTCTCCGCTTGTGCATTGCGGAGGAAGGAAACAGTCACCGGGATCTCCTCAGCACTCGCTATCTCGGGTCTATACGGAGCCTTCCACATGATTGCTTTACTCTCTTGCACTGAGTCTACGATCAGTCCGATCTCTTCAAATTTCTTCTTCAGCTTTTCTTCATGGTTGACACCGACGAGATGCCCAGGAGAGTCATGGAGATGAAGGAAGTCACCTCGTTGCCTGCTGAGGCGGTGTATGTCTCGACCTTCTCCTTCTTGGCTTCTTCAATCTGCTGCATAAACCACTCTCTGGATGCGTCACTCCATCCAGTCATCGCTTCTTGGAGAAGCTCACGTCGTGCCTGCTGACATGTCGAGCGGATGGCTTCTGCGATATGTTCGGATAACGCTTCGCGAAGCTCTTCACCCTCTCGACGAGATCAGCTTCGAGGACAGAGGCATCCACAAGTCCGCTCTGCGTGTATTGGCATGATCTCCGATACAGCAGGTTGCGAACATTTTCATCATACTGAAGAACCATACTTAGAAAGCTATTTGAAGTATACAAACCTCTCGCTTGCAGCTTCCTTGGCGCCCTGGCAGCTTCCCCTACACCACGCGTGCAGCCATGGTGCCTGAAATAACCGGCGCTGCCTGAAATAATGCCTGAAATAACCGGCGCTCTGCCTGAAATAACCGGCGCTGCCTGAAATAACCGGCGCTGCCTGAAATAACCGGCGCTCTGCCTGAAATAACCGGCGCTGCCTGAAATAACCGGCGCTCGCCTGAAATAACCGGCGCTGCCTGAAATAACCGGCGCTCTGCCTGAAATAACCGGCGCTGCCTGAAATAACCGGCGCTCGCCTGAAATAACCGGCGCTGCCTGAAATAACCGGCGCTGCCTGAAATAACCGGCGCTGCCTGAAATAACCGGCGCTGCCTGAAATAACCGGCGCTGCCTGAAATAACCGGCGCTGCCTGAAATAACCGGCGCTGCCTGAAATAACCGGCGCTGCCTGAAATAACCGGCGCTGCCTGAAATAACCGGCGCTGCCTGAAATAACCGGCGCTGCCTGAAATAACCGGCGCTCTGCCTGAAATAACCGGCGCTGCCTGAAATAACCGGCGCTCTAAACCCTAAACCCTAAACCCTAAACCCCATGGGGGAACCTGTCGAAGCCCTACCGGCTACTAAACCCTAAACCCTGTTTGTTCTCAATGCTGGAGGGATGCCTGAAGAATATCTTGTAATGCCTTCCATTCATGAAACAGGCCTTTATGTTCTTAGTTCACCTTGTTGTTCTTTTGTATCTGTCTGGTCATAAACTTCTCTATGATTGGTGCTTCGTACTCATCGTGGATCAACATCTTTGGTATAAACTTCTGGAAGTACTTGTTAGCCTGCTCGGTTGGAGAGATCACAACCCCGATTGGCATGCTCTGGTGATAAGATAGGATATCCTTCAACAGGACCGATTTCCCTCCACCTCGCTTGGAGATTGCTACAACCACTGAATCCGATTTCATTGTTGATGGATCAAACTTCCTTAAGTCTAACTTCATACAAGATGGTTTCATTTTCACAGTGTGAGATTTATATAACACAAAATATTATTATGTTCAAATTTACTTTCTCTAAGAAATTTATACAATTATGATGCACACACTATGTGCTATCATAAAAAAACAATCACAAAATAAATCAACAACATGTTTCATTGGCATATATTCTGTCTTCATGTATATCTTTGTATCTGTATTCATCAGGCATATCATGAACATTGATCTATCGTATTATTACATATCCTCTTGATTGTAGGATTCTTCAAGCACTTCATCTCATATATATTCGGTCTCCTTGGAATGTATTGTAAATTCGGAGATGCCTGCAAATCAGAACACAAGTGTGGCAGTGATGATACATTTGTTCTTCTTGACAGTGGATTGGAATCTATATATTATGTTTGGATTGTTTGGCTTCCATACATACTTCTGCCATACAAGATGTGTTTCATGTTAGAGTGGTCTATTCTAATTTATTAGGTATGCCAAATCCTGTATGGACCTCTTCAGGGATTCTCTGTAGTATCTTATAATCAAATAGATCATTGTTGCCACCCCCTCTCTTGTATTGTGTTTGAACTGGTGTGTTTTCTATTGTCTCTTTCGATGAGGGATTTGACTTGTACATCACATGGACAAAGTACAACATTGCCGTTGTTATGATATAAAGAGCAATAAAGTTTCCTGCCTCACTGAATCCAAGGTTGTATTCTTGATCCATTTCAAGTCTTGCGGATCGTTTTCTCCATTCTATGAAGATAAATATAATGATGCTTACAATAAGTGAATAGAGATAATACATTTACTTTGTGATTTCTAAATTTTACCTTTTAGAAAAACGCATCCTTAATCACAATATTCTTGATATCAGAGGATAATGGAGCCTTTTGTTCTTCTTTGTCATTATCATCATCAATTATCACTCTATGAACAGAATCATTCACCTCTTCCTCTTTTTTATGAGAATCATCCTCATGTTGTCTCTCTTCAGTGGACTGTTCTTTGAGTTGTATATGCTTTTCCATCGGGTCTTCTTGATATTCTGTTTTAGGTTCTTCTGGGATGTTCCCTACCTTTGATATATTCAGCCAGACTCTGGACCAATGCACAGAGAATCATGAGTGTCTTGTTATCAACAACAAGGCAAGCAGCAACAAGCTAGAGGATCAGGTGTTTTGGTACAAAGCACAAATAAAGGATTTCAAGATGTGTGACAGTGAATTGTGGGACATGCAAGCCATGCATGACCAGAAAAAATCAATGATGAATGATGATGAGGATGATGATAATCAGGATATATCATTTGATCCTAATATAATCATTAAGAATAAATGCAAGATAAATGTGAATAAGAAGTATTAGTCTTCAATGACCTCGTTTGTGATATTTTTTTGTACCCAGGGATCAACGCCATCTTGGAGTTCTTGAATAGGGTTGGTGCTTCCCGGATTCTTGCTCCTCTCAGCAAAAAATTGATCCTTGGCTTCCTTGTTTTTGTTATAAGTCATCATCAGAGTGTTCAATTGTGTCTCATTCCACTCCTGATTCTGTACATTGTTAGGATCAATCGAGATAGGGATCCAAACACCAACCTGGCTGACATAGATGTCGAATTTGCCATCCTTCTTTCTCAAGACCTCGCAACGGTGTCGTGCCTCCTGTACGGTATCATAGACGCCTCTAATCTTGATTCCACGGACAGAGGTCCTGAAATTATGCTGTTCATTGAACTCCTTCTCCACCTCATCCATTGATGTAGACTTGAAGAATTTATATTGAGCATCTAACTGTTCAGCATCAAATATATAGCTGTTGCTGTCCTTAACAGCATCGACAAGATCGGCAGACTCAGGAAACTTCAATTTGAGATTGTTGAATAGGGTGTTCATGTCTTTAGAGAACTGTGTGATGAACTTAGAGAAATAGAATGCCTCCTTTTCAATCAAGATGTCTTCAGGATTGATCATGGAGAGACAGACATAGTTCTGTCCACGGATAGGATCATCCTCTTCCAAATAATCGACCTCCTTAGTAGATACTGTTTCACCCGACATCTCTTGTCTTTATTCTTGTCTTATTTCTTTATGTATAAACTTATATGCTAGGAATGTAAGGGTATCCAATGGATTCACATATGTTTTTCCATATTAAATCCATCTGAAAAATCTTAATACGGCTCTTCAACAATGGGAAATGCTTTAAGTATTCATCTTGACCTAGTATCTGACAGAGCTTGTAGAGGACATAACTATAACTGAGGAAGTTCTTCCGATTGGGAGGACAGTGTTTCAAGAATGGGCCCTGTATCTCCTTGAACATGTTGCAAAGCTTCTCCTCCAACTCTGGCGAGAATTGTGGGGTAGGCACACCATTTATCCTGTTTATTATGTAATTGATGTGCTCATAATACTTGTTTATCTTCAACTTCTTAAGGATGTTCCGCATTGTCTTATAAGACAGTTCTTTGGTGTTTGTTATCTTCTCTTTCTTCAGTTCATTCAATATCTTCTCAAAGACATCATTGGGGATATCTGTGCTCTCCTTCCCTTGGATCTGATTGCACCACTCCCTGAAATGGTTTATTCGCTTATAACTGTAATGTGAATTATCCTTCTTGTTACGCAACATCACAGGCCTGTTCTGTTCAACCAAGAGGACCTCCTGATAACCACACTTTAAACATATTATGATCGCGTCATATTGCAATGTGGTAAGATACGAAACCATACATTCTCCATACTTGTCCTCCGCTGCTGCCTTCACGCCTGCATCCAAGACCACCGCCGCAATAGCCTGCTCTGCAATGTACTTCTTCTTCGCATCCAGGTTGGGGAAAAGTTGATCTATGACTCTGTCTACCTCCATTCTGCTTTCCCTGCTTTCACATTTGAAGAATGGTGGCAAGATGGCGAAGTCCGCATGATTCATGGGGAGATCGCACACTGTGCGTCCAACGTAGCAGTCAGACGCTGCTTCATACCTCAGGTAGGTGTCGTAAATTGTCCCAAGCTTCCACCCTGCTCGAATGCTTTTTGCTGCTAGGCTCGGGCAAGCAGTGCTCCCACTGCAACAGAAGGGATGAAGCGTGTTGCTCCTTGGATGAAGCGCCGTGTTACCGATTTCGTTTGCATCCAACCCCTTCCCTTGAATTGCAGCTGCTACTTCCTCATCCGCAACTTGGCAATGAGAAGTCTCTTGCAGAAGAGCTTTCGAAATCTGTCATACTGGTTTGTGCCTGATGCTCGTGATTACTGGAAGACCGTTGATGATGGCCACATGGCAAGCTCACCTGGGAACAGACGCCCACCGCTAGCAGTATGATTATCCATAACAGCAGAAGTACATGCCTGTGATATGTCATTCCAGTGAACGATTCCCTCCCCCCCACCCCAAACTCATTCTCAGCCAGTGCTAGCAGAGGACATACTTCAGGTGAACACACGGTTGCTATAGACATGCTTTGGATCCCGCGGTTTCTCACCAGCCTGATCATTTTTCGTGTGAATTACGTAGAATCGCAAGGCATCCCCGACATATTCCATGGGATTGTACAGAAGTGTGCATACGTTTCTGGATCTGGACATAAAATTCCAAGCCAGAATCAAAAAGGTTCTGGCCCAAACATATTCTCTTTCTGGTTTCTGTAGCATAACCTTGGCGAATACTGAATACAAAACGTATGACATGGGAACCTTGCCGGTTATCACTTTTGCATCTTGGTTGCAAGACTCGGGAAGTTGAGAAAGATTCAATGCTCGCTTCAATCCAGGCTGAAGTCACTGCTCAATGTTTTCACCGCCTCCATGCTCAGTGTAACCCCGTAATTCTTCAGCATGTGCATCAATCCTGACTTGTAAGACGAGCATGTTTGGAATGTCAAATCTGGATTTTGTTGAACTTTAAAGGTCACCCAGTCAAGAAACATGACTGGCGTGAATTTGTCAAAATAGACGGGAGGAATGTTCTTCTGTGACATTACAGACTCGATGTAAGATGTAGTAGGTAAGCCCTCGTCTGTCATCGCCGGCTCTGTCACCTCATCTGATCCGTTCAAGAATTTGTCATGTTCTTCACGCATCTTCGTTTTGAAATCATCTCATTCGAGTACAACCATTCTATGAAGCGTATCATGTAATTCATATACATCTCTCTGGTCTTCTCCGATAAATTGTTCTGCTGAATGCGTGTACGTGTTTTGTCGAATTCTTGCCGATCATGCCGTTTCACACAAAATTCTGCAGCTCTGGATTGAGGATGCTTGCGACCTCGCCGCGCCCTAGGCTGCACCGGCGATTGATCCAATGGGGCTTGATGTTGCAAGACGTTTTCGTCTGCTACAACAGCGAAAGCTGGAATAGCCTGTTCCCCTGCTACCACAGGCCTCGTTGAATCACTGTCATGAACTAATATTGGCGTTTGTTAAAGAAATATCTATACCGCAACAGGCAGCCAGATGTTATGTTACCACCGGCTCCACCGCCACAGATACACTCGACTAACGATGGCACTGTAACATTGACTTGGTACCGTGTTTGATCACCGCCTGCGTTGGTAAACTTCCAGTAGATATTTTCATGTATGAATCAGTAGGACAGGTTTTCGATATTTTCTTACATTGGTCGGCTCCAAAGCTTGCATATCTGGGCCAAGGTAGATATTTCGCAGCAGGACAAGCAGCGCAGTAGCCAGTTTCGCCGTTAGCAGGCATTTGTTCGCCGTACCGCTGCTGGTGTTGTCGCATCGCCCGCTGTTGGCTAATCCGTACGCAGGGCTTAGATTGCCAGCTTCGCAGAAAACGCACTGTCCAATCGAACTGTTGCAGTAAGACCCGAATCCACAGCCAGAAATGCGTCGCAGGCATGGTAGTAGAGGAGTTAGAGCTACGCATCTGCGCCGGGCATGACGTGCAGAAGGAAGCGCCAGCGCTGGAATAGCTCTCGGCCGGGCAGGCTTGGCATTCGTACACAGCGGGACAATCCGTGCAGTTCTGATTGGCATTCTGATAGGCTGAAATTTGCATTCCTTTCCGACGTGATGATCCTGCCAAATAAAATTCCGAAGATTGTGCAAAAGCAATCGTCAATGCAGGATAAAAGCCGATCGCACAGGGGCTACAGTTTGTGCGGTTGGAAATAACCCAGTGGGCAGTTCTGGCACAGTTCATGCAATAATCGGGCTGTGGATTGTATCCGCTGAAGTAAACAAACAGATAACGACCGGAGAACTTGCAGTTGACAGTGTTGGCATAGCTATGCTGCTATTGCCCCACACAGACTGTTGCTGGTAGGCGTCAGAGAGTTGCCAACATAGATCTTGTCACCGCCATCTCGCAACCAACAGCAACTTTTCCTACTCCACATCATTACTGACTGAACATCCTTGCTGCTGCCAAAGTCTATCCACCAATAGCGCGTTGCGACGCGTTTTGTATGCATGAAGTTACCAAGATTGTGATTGCCAGAGTGATAGCTAGACTGTCCGCCCGTGCAGAGCGAATTGCCAGTCATAGCTCCGCAGTCTTGCAGGCTTGTCGTGACACCATGCATTGTCTGGTCCGCAGCGCATGATTTGCAGACAGTAAGTCCGATCTGATCGCTGTATGTTGTATACACAACACAGAGATTGTCAACGACACGAGTAAAGTAAGGATGAAGAAGATTGAGAAGCAGGAAATAGAAGTCTCTAAGTTTACTAGGAGGTAAACTACGCACAACCACCACACTCACTGTGCATGCAAGTGGGGGAAATTCAGGAGGCCGTCCGCACGAGATGCGTCCGCCTATATAGGGAATATCCGGCAGAGTATCCGACGAGTATCCGTGGTTCCGGATCCTCATGGATACAACATCGCTCCATCTGCGCTTGACAACTTAGTTCCAACTTGTCCTTCGCTCTTACCATGAGGAGATGAACGACAGGATTCAAAGTTCCACTTCAGACGAGTCGGAGGAGTCCAAGGCGTTGGAGGGTAAAGCTTGAAGAGCTTCACGTTCTTCGAATTGACGGATGAGTTCGCGAAGACCTGATTTCTTCTGCAACTCACGGGCAGGGAGCCAATTGTTCTCACTGACTTGATCATAGCCTGTCCACTTAACAAGGTACTGAATACCTCGACCGCGACGACGTTTGCTGAGGATGCTCTCGATCTCGTATTCCAAGCCGTCTCTGGTGGCCAGAGGTTCGGGTGGTCGCTGGGGATCTTGATAGGCAGGGTCGCGCTCTGTATGCGGACGAAGCCACTTGATGTTGATGACGGTGTTTCTGATCGATGCGAAGCGAGGAGAGACGTCGAGACGAACGGTGTTGTCTGAAACAAATTCCAGGATGCGGAAGGGACCAACGAAGCGAGGGTTGAGCTTCGAGGCGGCGTCGGGGATGTTGAGGTTGGCGGTAGAGAGCCAAACCAGATCTCCAACTTGATAGCGGCAGGGACGACGGGCCTGCGCAAGGCGAGCTTCGGTGGCTCGCGCTGCAGTTTCGAGAGCAGCTCGGGCAGCTTCGGCGCTGACTTCGGTTGCTTCACGAATGGAGTCGAGGGTCTCGTCCTGATGATCGTCAGGTGAGGGCAGAGAGAGTTGTGTCCTGATAGGTTTGCCGAACATGACTTCGAAAGGGCTGGCACCGATGGGACGGCGAACAGCTGAGTTTAGGTGAGTCTCCAGGATGGGGAGGTACCTATCCCAATCGGCTCGAGGATACTGCGTGGTGTAGATACGCAGAGCTTCGAGGACGACGGAGTTCATACGCTCGGGTCGACCGTTGCTTTGAGGCATAAAAGGCGACGAATGCTTCACGTGAACGTTGAGCATCTTGAAGAGCGCGTTCCAGAATCTGGACGAAAAGATGGCAGCGTTGTCGCTGATAAGGACTTGAGGAAGGCCTTGGGATCGAAATACGGTTTCGATGAATTTTTGAGCAGCTTGTTCAGAAGTAATCGATTTACGGCAAGGGGTGAGATAAACTCGCCCTGTGAACTCGTCAATGAAGAGAAGAATTGCATCGTTCTTATCTCGAGTTCGTGGGAGTCCGGTCAGCAAGTCGAGACTGACGACTTCGAAGCGTGTCGAGGGAACGGCGTGGGAATGAGGAGTACCCATTGGTCGTTGTCGATAAGATTTCCCTTGAAGACAATGCTGGCATGACAGGATGTAAAGCTCGGTATCTTTCCGAAGCTGGGGCCAATAAACAGTTGCTGCTAGCTGAAGGTAGGTTCTTGAAAACCCGAGGTGGGACTGAAGGTCGTGGGCGCGGAAGAGAACTTCTCGACGCAATGCTTGCGGAATGCACAGGCGGATGCGGCGCAACGAATCTGTATAAAACAGAAGCTCATCATCCAGATGAAAAGAAGTTACGGAAGACTTGGCGCGGAGACGGTGGATAAGAGGACGACAGAAGTCGCACGTCTCGTAGGCGGCTTGAATCTGGTCCGACAAAGGCTGCAAGGCGCTGACGGTGAAGGCGAGCAAGAAGCCGTCCTCTTGACGAGAGAGTTGCTCGTGATGAGGAGCGACTGCAGTCGAGAGGGGAACTTCATCTTGACGGCTGAGAGCGTCGGGGACGACGTTCTGAGAACCTTTGACGTAACAGTACTCGGTGATTGCAAACTCGCTGAGCGTTTGAAGCCAACGAATCAATCTGCTGTTGATGTCTTTCTGTGTCTGGAAATACGTAAGAGCTTGATGATCAGTAAAGACCTTGAATGGAGTCCCTATCAAGTAGAACTTGAAGAAAAGGATGGTATCCTTGATTGCGAGTAACTCCCGTTCGGTCGCGTGATAGCGTTGTTCGGTCGGAGTCAACTTACGACTGTAGAATCCGATGACGCGGGCGGGGGCGTTGGGAGGCTGCTGTAGAAGTACGCCTCCTATCCCGACATTGGACGCGTCGCAGTGCACTTCGGTCGGAAGGGACGGGTCGAAGTGATGCAGGAGGGGCTGAGACGTCAGAGCTTGCTTGAGGTTGTCGAACGCGCTTTGACATGCTGCAGTCCACTGAAACTGAGCGCCCTTGCGGAGAAGGTCAGTCAGAGGGGCTGCTATTGTCGAGAAGTTGCGGATGAACTTTCGATAATAGGAAGCTAGTCCAAGAAACATCTTGACTTGTTTAGTAGTCGTCGGTAGCGGCCACGCGGAGATAGCCGCCGTCTTGGAGTGTTGGGTCGTCACGCCGTCGGCGGAGACACGGTGACCTAAGAAGTCAACACTAGTGCGAAAGAATTGAGCTTTCTCTCTCTTAAGGAAGACCTGATGCTCGCGACAGCGTTGAAGCACGGCGCGAACGTGATCTGCATGAGCTTCCCAGGTGGAATACGTAGCGATGACGATGTCGTCGATGTATGCAAACGTGTGGGGTAGATCATGGAGGACCTGCTGGATGAATCCTTGGAATATGCTGCTGGCAGTGATGAATCCAAATGGTAGGCGCTTGTATTGGTAGTGACCAATCGGTGTGATGAACGCGAGATATCGGCGATCAGGAACACGTACGAGTACCTGCCAAAAACTCTTGATACAATCAAGCGTAGTGATGCATAGCTGCTCATCGGTGTTGCGACGGGCTTTGCCTTGACGGACGGTGTCGGCGATCTTTTCCAACATCTCATCGACGGTAGGAGTTGCGGCGGTCTGCTGATTCAAGACGACTTGGTTCAAGCGGCGAAGGTCGCAGCAAAAGCGGTAGCTTTTGGGATCAGTTGGGGAGCGTGGATCGTTGGGACGTCGACTGAAAAGCACAGGAAAGGCAAACTCACTATTGGATGGTTCGATGATGTCGTGTTCGAGCATGTACGCGATGGTAGCCTGGAGTTCTCCTTCAAGATGAAGGGGGATGCGATATGGCCTGCGGTTGATGGGCAAGGTCCCTGGCTTGAGCTGAATGTGAGCGTCAAACTGAGGGGGACGGTTGATCTGAAGTCCTTGCGGCAGGTCGTCGACGAGGACGTCGGCGAATTCCTCAGAGAGGGCTTGAGCAAGGTGAGCGGGGGCGCCCACTGGCGGGTCGGCGGAAGAGGCCGAGGCGGAAGCTGTCGTTGGGACATGCAGGTGCAACAAGAACCATTCCTCATTAGGATTGGCGACGCGCAGAGCGTGAGCATCGGTGAGCGAGACGGTTGTCACAGCTAAGACCGAGTCCTTGTAGGGCACTTGATGCTGAACTGGCAAGCTAATCGGAGGGGCTCGTCGAGCTTTGGGGGAATCGACGAACACTTCTCGGGTCCGCGGAACGTATACAGCGTTGTGGCGATGTATCCACTGGAGAGACAAGATCAGGGGTTGAGAACAACGTGGCAAGATATGAAACGTATCTTTGCTTGAAAAGCGGCCGATGCGATAGGCGAGCGAGACGGCGCCGAGGGTTTGCACTTGGCGGTCGTCCGCAACTTGCACGGTGAACTGCGTATCACGCTGTAGCAGAGTCTCGGAGAGGCCCAGCTGCTGAAAAAGCTGCTGAGACATGATATTGATCGTCGCGCCGTGATCGAGCAGGGCAACGGTCTGGTGAGCGTGAACTCGGGAAGAGCTGACGCTAACGGGGAGCCGAATAAGATCGGGTAAGGCGAGCTGAAGCGGCGCGGAGGCGTCGCCACGGCTGAGGGCTAAGCAGGGGCAAACATGTAGTTGACCCGTAGGAAGGGACGCGGCCGTTGAGCACGACGCGTTCCGATCAGGCGGCAGCACGAAATGGCTTAGCGAGCTCCGATGAGGAGGTAAAGCGCTGCTACCTGGTAAGAGAGGGCTGGGGCAAAGACCAGCGGCAGGAGGAGCAAGTGATGCTCCCCTCTCGTTGCCTGCCGCCGCTACTCGTTTCCCGCACGCGTCGCGAGCGGTTGAAGAGCAGCTAAAAGCTGAACATGCTGTTCATGCTGGGTTGCCATGAGTTTCTCATCAGCATGGCGCTCCTGTTGGAGAGCGACTTCGCGCTTGTACTGCTCGCAGTCCGGCTTGATGTGACCCGGTTCTTGACAGTAAAAACAACGGATGGACTTCTGCTTGCGCTGGTTTTCTTTACCGTTGGACTTCTTCTTGTTCTGCCCACCGTTGGCTTTGGCCTTCGTGTGCGAAGAGGTCTGCGCAGCGTTAGCAGCAGCTGAGTTAGGCTGCTTAGACACTGTTAGCGGTTCACCATCGTCCAGAAGAGCTGTGATGAAAGTGACTAGGCGAGAGAACATGTCTTCTCCGTGTCCGTACTGACTGCGATAAATCGTAAACCATGTGTGGATAGACGTGCGCGTCGGCGTATGCGAAAATCCCTTGATGAATTTCCGGAGTGGCTGATCGTTGAAGTACAGGATGGCAGACCCTACCTGCGATTCGAGCGTTGCGAAGAGTGTCGTGGCGCGAGTCAAGTACGCCCAGGCGGATTCGTTGGGCTGCTGCTTGAGCTGATCAAGCTGAGTCTGATAATTCTTGGCTTGCCGCATTGGGGCTAGACACGAACTTAGATGAGTTGAAAATTCATCCCATTTAAGCTTGTTGATGGCCTCGAGACTCTTTCCGTACTTACGTTCTACCACCACCATCACTTCGTTGGTGAACAACGGCGTGATGCTCTTCACCCATTTGCGAGTTGGGATCTCTTGAGCGATTAATTCGCGGTTGCACTGACGAAGGAATTCTTCGACAGAGCGGGGATCAGCAAAACCTTTGTACATCGGAATGCGGCTGGAATTGAAACTCTTGGAGTTCGTTAGCACATTCACGAGAGTCCGATTGGAGAGGACTGGTTCCTGATCAGAGGATTCAGCGCTAGCTGATTCCTCAGCTGAATAGATATCAGCATTAGCATCTTGCAGGGTAACTTTTCGTGCGAGATGCGGGAGCTCTGGTGTTGCAGCAGCGCCGGCTGTCGCAAATTCGTCGGCAGCATTGGCGAGCATGTGGAAACGCTCGTCCTGCGTGGTGTCAGCCAGGAGGGCACACATTCGACGAAGAAGGAGAAGAGCTCGGTCCTGCGCCACTGGCGAGGACATGACGGGGTCGGATGAAAAATTTTCCGAGCTTGGCAGACGTACCGATGTTGCAGGGGAGGCTGCTCTCTGAGTTGCCTCCTCTGATCGCAGAATACTTCGCAAGGGAGTATCCCTCTTGTTTCGGGCCCGTTGATCCGCGCTAGACAGCGCTTCACGTTGTACATCTCCATCCCTATAAGGTTGAGTCAAAGATCCACTGGTCTGACTCGGAGAAAGCTGCTGCTGCTGCAGCTGCAGCCGCTCGCTCCATTCGACTTCTTCCTCAGAACTCTCTTCAGCAATTTCTGTTTGAAATGCTCCTGATTGCTTAGATCGAGGTTGAGGGCTCCTTTCCGGCTGAGGTTTCTTTCCTCCTCTTCCTTGTTTCGAGGTCATGAATCAACCACTTCGCTTCCAGAATGTTGTATACACAACACAGAGATTGTCAACGACACGAGTAAAGTAAGGATGAAGAAGATTGAGAAGCAGGAAATAGAAGTCTCTAAGTTTACTAGGAGGTAAACTACGCACAACCACCACACTCACTGTGCATGCAAGTGGGGGAAATTCAGGAGGCCGTCCGCACGAGATGCGTCCGCCTATATAGGGAATATCCGGCAGAGTATCCGACGAGTATCCGTGGTTCCGGATCCTCATGGATACAACACTGTAGGTCCCAATAGCGCACTGGATGAAAACGCCGCTGCTGCCATAGTAGCCAAGGTCGGCAATGCAGAGACTGGAAGTCGTAGCCGTTGTGCTGGCAGTGGTAGAACCAAGGAAGCAGGTCTTGCAGGACGTCGTGTTGATGAGAGTCGTGTCGGAATAAGTCCCGATGGCTCAGGCGGCGAAGCTTCCGTCGCTTTTCTGGTGATATCCAAGATCCGACACGCAGTTTGCCGCAAGTGTAGCGCCAGTATAAAGGTGGTAGAGCCAATCGGGCAGTTGGTATTCCCGACAGCGGGCTTGTAGGTGGCTTGCGGGCACTGGAAAAAGTTGGTTCCGTTTCGGTAATAGCCAGCGATAGCAAGACACTGATCAAAGGACGAAGGTTTGTTGGAAAGCGTTATGGAGTTTGGCGAACAGTTGATACAGGCATTGTATCTGATGAAGTCTTTGTAGGTGTTGATGTCGCAACTGACGCAGATTTCGCCGTGGAGCGTCTTGCCCAGCGCGCAAGTGCAGACAGTCTCCGCTCCTCTGTAGAACGTAGCTTCGCAGCTGCAGTTGTTGAAGTTGGTGCTGCCATTCTAAGCCGTGCTGAAGAAGAGCGGACAGGGGTAGTAGGAGTCAAACGACGTTGTGTTCTTGTACCCACCAACAGGACAGAGCTTGCAGCTTTCGATATCTAGCTCGCTTCCCTTCGGACAAGTGCAGACTGTGCGTTGTAAGACGTAGTGAAGAAGCGCGGGCAGGGCTGGCAACCGTACAGGCTGAAGTTGGTCTTGTAGGTCGCCAGCGGGCATGGTACGCATAGATCTGTCAGGTTGAAGGTCAGGCCTGAAGCGCAGACGCAGTTGCTGATCGTCGTGTTGCCAGTAAACTGCGTCGTCATTGTTGCCGGGCAGGTTCGAAGCTCCTGGACGACTTGCCAGCGGAGCAGTTGTAGAAGTTGCTGCCGTACTGGCAAGTCCAGCTCGGCCAGCCAGCCGTATCTGCAAGTGCAGTTGTCCGAAGAGATAGAGCCGGCAAGGCTGTAGGAGTTGTGCGGGCAGGGATTGACGCTGGTGCCGTAGTGGGGTGATGATGCCAGGCAGCGGTACCTGTCCGAATTTATAGCAGACAGGCAACGGCAGATGGAGGCCAGGTCTTATGATGACCAGGGCACTAGTGTGCAGACGAGCGAAGGTATCCAACCAGTGGAAGACAGATTTCAAATGCGAAGGTATCCAACCAGTGGAAGACAGATTTCAAATAGCATGGCTACGAGACAAGAGGTACGCGAGCGCGCAAACTAGAAACCAGGTCGAATCGCCGAGAGGGACTATTGTCCTCCCGCGAATAGTAGCTTGTTTGAGAGATCAAGAGGGGAGGACAAAGAGAGCAAAGCGACTACTAGCCGGGGCAGCTCAGCCATTCTTATTCCCGTGCGTAGAGAATGGCAATCATTGGATTTTACTAATGGCAGATTTTGACACAAAAAGAATACGCATTGTTGACTCACTCAGCATGGCTGAGAGAGACCTGGGGATTGTCAGAAGTCAAAGGGAGGCACAGTTTCAGCTGGAGGGCGCACAACGAATGGACTTAGCCACACTCGCGGCGACGATTGTCACGGAGGCATTCAGCGACCAGCAGGAACATGCAACGACATGGCGGGTTTACCTGTCAACTGAGCTACAACAAACAGACAATCACAACTGTGGGATCTTCATACTGTTGCATTTGCTGCTGATCGCTAAGACAAACAGACCGACACAACGAGACATCTCAAAAACAGGTAGGCAGCAAGGCGTCCCCCCACCCCAGCAATGGCTCGAGAGGATGAGGCACCTGCTGCTGGATGCGCTTTGGGTGGAGGATCCAGGAAAAGTGCGCATGCGAGAAACGATCAAAGGCATCTGCAGAGCTTTACAACACGCGCAAGATAAAGGGTACAAGGAATGGCAAGCAGCAGAGGTGACCCAGGCACAAGAGATGGAGCAGGGAGAGCAAGAATCGTGGCAAGCAAGAAACATGGCGGACCTGCGGACATATGAAAGGTCAGAACAGATGGACTCACCGCCGCCTCAGGCCACATCGCTCCCCCCAGCGGGCACGCACAAAGAACAAGCTTCGAACGATGCAAGGGGAACTAGGGAGGAGGAGGAGACGCACTCTCCGGCAAGAGATCGAAGGGGAGTACCACATCAACTTCAATGGGCCAATAGGGAAGAGGAACAAGTACTAACAACAGGTAGAAAACCTCACAATGCAATGCGAACAGAAAGATCAGAGCAACCATCATGGGTGGAGATGCACAGAAAGGATAACACCCCAGGCAACATCATCTTTCAAAATGTTAATGGGTGCAGCCAGTTTGTGCTGAAACACATCTTGGGATACCTGATCGAGACATACCAGCCGAGTGTGGTAATGCTGCAGGAGGTCTTGGTAGGGGGGAAGAGGAAAGAGATAGCTCTCCGAACGATGATCAAGAAGGAATGGGGATGCTATCGAGTATTTATCACGAAAGGCACGGGGGGCGGGAGAAAGGGTAAGAGTGACCTACGCCTCATGACATTAGCGCATGCTGACCTTGCACCTCGCCCCCCCCTGCCATGGCACTTCGCCATGGAAGAGGAGCGCGAGGTCTCCCAAAAAAGAATACAGGTTTTACACGTTGGCCGCAAAAAAGAAACAATATTGTTGGCGAACGTTACATTTCCCTATCTCGAAAGCTTGCAGAGATCTGCACGAGAGTAGGGTACGGGAGCAACTCGCTTCGGAACGTGCACCGCGCAGATGAGGAAATGGAACGAAACTTAAATGAGCTGGGGCGATATCAGATGGTCACCTGCGAAAAGATGAGCAGAAGCAGTTCGCATTTCACCTTCTCCACATGGTACAAACAGGGCCACCACCAAGCCAAATTAGACCATGTCTTCGCTCTTCATCATTCATCTCGCACAGTAAGCCTGATATCAGAGACCGCAGAAGACTGCATCATAGGAGCCGCAGTCGATCACAGGCACCTCATGGAGCGATCTCCAACCAGTGCTGCAGCGGTCAGAGCTAGAGTACTTACAGGACCTGGAGCGACGCCAAGGTTTGGCCATTTGTCGTGGATGACGGTGGTGGACTTGCTTAGGAAGAGCGGGGGAGGGCGAAAAGTGTAGAGATGTTTTGGTGTAGTTCGGTACAAACGGATTGGAATATTCGATGATATGCAGCATGGAATAAGAATGACTCCTTGTGACTTTTGTAATGTTGACCGGGATGGGATAATGGCACAACTGCGGGGTAAGGGGAGAAGATGCTTTTGTGATAAGGGTGCGGATGATGGTGCATCGTGCAGTTTGCGAAGCAAACAAAGTTCATATGGTTGTTGAAGGGACTCGCAGACCTTGTTCGTCTGTAACATGTAAGGTATTCTATTCATGATGCTAAGACATGATCTGATATAGCACACCATCATCCTTAAAACTTCACTGATCCTCAAAAACGTCCCTTTGGACAGTACTCGCGGCGCTACATTCCGACTCTTGACTCGAGGGGGGAGATGCGCTGGTATTCGATCCACACTGACGCTCGGCCGCATACTGTAACGCCTCCGGACTGTTTTGAGAGTCTGGACTCCTTGCGGCACCTTGGACAGGATTACCGGAAGACAGAATCTCAGGGCCATCAGGTCCCATGACATATTGCTCTTGAGGGTCGAATTCTTCGCCAAACGCGTTTCGTAAGCAAAGTTCACAATCGAATGCCATTCCTTCCTCCAGGCCGCCGTAACAAGACATAAGCAGTAGACTCGACCTCCCATTTGGCAAATCTCCGTAAAAATAATTCGCCATTGCGTTCATGGATCGGAGCGAGAGAAGAAGAGGGTGTGGTGCCGTGTGAAGCTCTATATGTTGCTCTTCCTGACTGTCTCCTTTGAACGTGATCACGCGAAAACATGGCAGTGCCACCGCCACTGGCTGCCCAGTTTCAGACTTAAGTCCCTCGAAAGCCTTGACTTTCTTCTGCTTTCTCAGCTTATCCCTGAGATCATCGCACCCTGAGACTTTTCTGATCTGGAAACACCTGGAGACTTGGTTCCAGTATCCGTTATCTTGCAGCAACGTTTCCAGACTTTTGGGAGCTTCGCACTGAATCAAACAAACGTCCTTGTAAAGAATTTGAATGTGCTGTAGGGCCTGATGTAGCACCTCCCTGTCATCTAGAACATTTCATTGGTACGGTCAACACATTCAATGCTACAGTACCTTGATACAAGGTGGGAAGCAAATACTTCTGCTTCATCGGACGGCAGATTTCCTTGACGAGAGACTCCTCGTCCAAATGATGTTGTTGATACTCTGAGTTCTTCAGAACAGCTTCAGTATCAAGTTGAAAGAAAGTTTGTCTGTAGACGTCTTTGTCAACACCGATCAAAATCGCTTTGTACCCTTCGCCTTTCCACTCGAATTGCTGCTGAGGAGATAGGAGTGGAAGCAACATCAGAGCTGCTTTGCTCTCCAAATGTTCGCGTTGGCCACCAAGGAAGATAAAGTTGAAAGGAAGGTCCGCAATGCCTGGTATGTGGTTGTTGTCCTCATCACAACATCCAAACAAAACCTTCTTAGCGACGTCATCCGACCGCAAGCCCTCTGGAAGGGCATTCTGCACAATAATCCCCCAGTCGATTCGACATGCAGCACTGTTTGGGACCAAGTGCGATCGCTCTACCAAGCCTGATTTAACTTTACAGCCCTCCAGGTCAAAAGCTTTCTCCCTGTTATGTCCCTTCTTGCAATGTTTATCGGCGGGTAAGTTCTGCGCGGCCTGAAGAAAAGCCAGACAAACGTTTTGCCGAAATACTGCAGGAGCCTTTGGAAGCTGGAGAAAGGTAGAGCAAAGGTCGTCAAAGTAACCAAATCGTAGATTGCCCACTATTTGTTTCGTGAGCTCAGATACGTTTAAGGCTCGAGTCTTCTCGTCGTGCTCTTCTCTTAAGGCTCGAATCTCCTCGTCGTGCTCTTCTCTTAAGGCTCGAATCTCCTCGTCGTGCTCTTCTCTTAAGGCTCGAATCTCCTCGTTGTGCTCTTCTCTTAAGGCTCGAATCTCCTCGTTGTGCTCTTCTCTTAAGGCTCGAATCTTCTCGTCGTGCTCTTCTCTTAAGGCTCGAATCTTCTCGTCGTGCTCTTCTCTTAAGGCTCGAATCTCCTCGTCGTGCTCTTGTTTCTGACGCCTTAAAGTAGTGTTGTCTTGCTCTAGAGCTCGAATCTTGTCGGCTGATCTCTCATTTCGTTCTTCCAAGGCTTGAAACCTCTTGTCGCTATCTAGCCTTAGAGCTTCCAGCTGTCTCCCTAGAGCCTCAAGCGCTTCCTTGGACGCCATGGCCGCCGCACTGAAGTTTGTGGCGTCCAGCCTCGGATGCTGCCGGGGGTACCTCATCAGAGATTTGGGGGTAGGGGGTAGAAAAAAGGCGGGAAAATATCCGTTACTCCTCATAACGGAAGCTTTGCTGCCGCCGGTAGCCTTTCTTTACTCAATGTTCAGCATGCAGCGCACGGGACGCATCCATTGGAACCATTGAAGTTTGTGTAGCCAGCTACGCACTGGCAGTCTAAGAGCCAGCAGCGGAAGCGGTGAAGGCGGGACAGCGATTGCAGGCCTTGTCCAAAGCGTATGCTTCAGAATAGGACAGGGAGCGCAGACGTTCCAGGCCCGCAGGGGACGCAGGAAATGTTAGTGTTTGGCGCGGTTATGGTCGAACCCAGTATTGCCACCAGCCCGCTGGGCACGGACAATCTCGCCTCATTTCGGGTCTGTAGCAGTAATAGGGCTGATACGCGCTGTAATAGGTCGGTGGACAGGCAGCGAAACACTCCGGGACAGACGCAAGTTTTGATCTGCGTGATCATCGTATCGCTGCGCTTGTAGCCGGGAAGCCAGAGACAGGAGCCGAAACTAGTAGAGCCGAGGCTAGATGTGGAATTGGCAGGGCAAGGCCGTACTTGCGGGCCTGGAACCATTCTTCAAATGTGAAAGCAGGGAAAGCAGAATGAATTTCTACCATTGTTGAGCCGATACATTTCAATTGACGGGAATGGCAGAAAACCTACTGGTTTGCCTCCTCATGTCATCACGATCCGATCAATGGAGGAAATGAAAGGGTCCGTAGACGGCATCAACGGGAACATTACCGAGATGAGAGGGTCTATCAATCACTTGACAGAAACAAATGCAACAATGGAAGAGAAGCTTGCAGCTTGCTTCCGCACTTCAGCTGATTCAATTTTTCGAGCAATCTGTTGTATACACAACACAGAGATTGTCGACGTCACGAGTAAGGTAAGGATGAAGAAGACAGAGAAGCAGAAGATAGAAGTCTCTAAGTTCACTTAAGAGTAAACTACGCACAAACACCACACTTACTGTGCATGCGAGTGGGGAAATTCAGGAGGAGCGGCCGCACGAGATGCGTCCGCTTATATGGGTGGATACAACACAATCGCAGAGAATCGTCCACTAGCCAATTCGTTGGAGAATGGAGGAACAGGTATGGATGCAGGCGTGAAGGCAGCAGCGGAGGACAAGTATGGAGAATGTATAACAAGGCAAGGAGATGGCAAGTGGAGAGAGAAAATGAATGCGAAGATGCAAGGGATACAGGATACATTGGAAGAGCTGAAAGGCGCTATCAAGGGATTGGAAGAAGGCATGAAAGAGATCAAGAGAGGGGTAAGTGTTTCACAGGCGAGTACGGGTGTGCGGCGCAGGAGGATGGGGTAAGGCATGGAAGGGACACGGGGACCTATCTGGCAGAGTGACTGAGGATGGGGAGATGGAGGATGGGATGGAAGATGCAGAGGACAGCGATGGCGGCGAGGTTGATGACAGAATCAGGCAAACAGTGAATGACAATACAGTGGAAGGGGACGAGAGCAGCTTACTCCCTACCAGTTTCAAATGGGCCAAGGCGAATACAAGAGCAATTTGTACAGAATGGCATTTCGGAAACAGGGGATAAGGATATCCTGCTTACCATTGTGTATGATCAGTGTAAAAACTTTCTTATGGAAATATACAAGGACGCAAGAGGAGAATGGGACGCGACGCCAAGGTTTGGCCATTTGTCGTGGATGACGGTGGTGGACTTGCTTAGGAAGAGCGGGGGAGGGCGAAAAGTGTAGAGATGTTTTGGTGTAGTTCGGTACAGACGGATTGGAATATTCGATGATATGCAGCATGGAATAAGAATGACTCCTTGTGACTTTTGTAATGTTGACCGGGATGGGATAATGGCACAACTGCGGGGTAAGGGGAGAAGATGCTTTTGTGATAAGGGTGCGGATGATGGTGCATCGTGCAGTTTGCGAAGCAAACAAAGTTCATATGGTTGTTGAAGGGACTCGCAGACCTTGTTCGTCTGTCTGATGGGCGGACAGAAGCACTGGTTGATCGAAGTCGATCCGATGCTGGAAGTCATGCCTGCTGGACAGCGATCGCATATTCCGGACGCGTCCAGGTAGAAATTGGCGTTGCAAGAGCATTCGTAGCCCCCGTACGTGTTGGTGCAGACGGAGTAAGGCATTCGTTGACATCATAGCAGACAGAAGCGTTCCAATATCATCAAGGAAGGGTTTAGGCCTAAACCCTAAACAGCATGTTGCGAACACTTTTCATCATACTGAAGAACCATACTTAGAACTTGAAGCTGTTTAAACTATACCAAACCTTGACCGGAAGTTGCAGCCAAGTTCCTTGTAACTTCGTGAGCCCGCCTCAGCCTACCTATTCGGCAATTCGGCCCGACTTGGCTGGCCCCTACGGCAGCCGTGCTTCTGCTCTGCTGTACCTTTTCTACTTTCTACTTCTGCAATCTCCCTTGTGCTTCCTGAGCCTCAGTCGCACACCATAATACTTCTGCATTGCCCAGCTAGCATTGGTTCATGGTCTCTACCCGTCCTCATGTGCTTTACACTGCGGCTCAGTCTGTTGCGGCAGATGTGCGCTTGATGAGTGTTCCCTTCTTACTTTTGAATCCTCACAGCAGTTTCTACAGAAAGATCTACTTGAGAACTAAACCCCACCTTAGAACAGCTGAGCAAGAGAGGCAGAGGGAGCCGAGTGAAAGGCAAACCAAAGGAAGCGGGAATACGAATTGCCACCAAGCATTCATTCGCAACTGCATTTCAGATTTAGGAGGCTGCTTCTCCTATTTCACAAGCGTCCCATATTTCTCCAAGATACGATTAACGTACTTGCCATACTCGGGGTCATCATCAGAGATGATGCGATCCACCTAGGACTTCATCATCAGCTCAAGCGGCAGTCATCTCACCACAGCTTCACCTCCTTGCCGATGAACTCGGCGTAATCGTCAACTATCTGCGTGCCAACCACCTTCTTGAGCACATCTTTGACAGTTTTCTGCGGTAAGCATCAGCACAAAACAAGAATTGTCACCAGGAAAACGGAACCTTTGTCAAAGTCTCGTCCTCACGTCTGATAGCATCCGCAATTAGGCGCTCAAGGAGGAAAGTGAGTCTCTGCATCGTCACAAGTGAGCGCTTTATGCTTTGATAATTAGAATTCACCTGTTCCGTTGGCATTGAACTATCATCCAGCGTTCTGAGGACTTCGATCTCTGCCTGCAAAGAGTCAACTATCTCAGACAAACCTGCATCTTTGCCTACCTTGTCCTTCTTCTCTAAAAGATTTCGCGGTGCCTCGTCTGGACCTATGGCCACAATCTCCTGGGCATTGACGACATCCACAACCAGCCCTTCAGAAAAGTCTGCTGCTGCTGCTTCCTTGAGCTGAATCTTCATGACTTCCTCCTGTTCATCTCCAATCACCAACCCACCACAAACTGAATTCTTCTGGACAGACCGGCATCGGGGTACAAATTCCGCTGTCAACATCACAAACATTGATGAACTCTCCTTCTGTCGTAGAAGTCAAGGACATCGAACTCAAGATTTCCTAGAGTCCCACCAGCTTCGGGCATGCGCATTGCGGCAGGAACAATTCCAGCTTGGGTGAGGACATGTACCCTCCCATCTTCGAGGATCTGACAGGTCGTGAGGAGGTCAAACCATCGACCTATTCATCTACCTCCAGACACTCGATAGGGCCGGACATCATCCCTTGGGACATACCCGTGTCTGTCCTCCACACCTAAATCTCGTCACATTAGAATGCATGAAAACAAGTTACCTCATATCCGTTCTGAGTTACAAACGCGTTTATCCCACGAAGCTGCGGAGTATGGCCAACTACCATTCGCTTTGCATTTAGTTTCTCGAGTACTTGTTCAAGCTCCAGCTACCAAGACAAAATCATAACCACAAGATCCAACATTTAAATAGCAACAAATCTTACCTCGGCATCTCGCTTTGGAGAAGGCACAGAATAAATTCTTGACCAGATAGGCGAGTTGATATCGTCGATCATTCTTGGCTTGAGCTTATTTGTCATGCTCTACAGCAACAAGGTAGAAAGGAGCACCTTGGGGAAATTCGTATACCGTGGACTTCCATACAGCCAAGCCTGAGAGCAAGATGAGCTTGAGAAGATATCAAGGACTTGATCGAACCGCAGTCTCCTGATTCAACTTCTCCAGACCATACTCGACATGCTGCAATCTCAAACCTCCATGAACGAAAACAGAATCCCCTATTTGTATGGCGATTGGCATTTTGGACAAGCAACGAGCCGCTCCACCACCGGGCCTGAAAGCATACACTCTTTCTCTCATGTACGCCGGAAATCCTATGGCCACGCAAGTCAATCTCTCCATGGTAGACTACCGTGAGAAAGTCTCACTGATTGCCGAAATCTCGTCTGCGATGTTTACCAACATGCTACCACTCTTGGGTCTTCTGTCCAAAAATTCCCAGCCAAACCATGCATTTTCTCGCGGCGAGACGTATCTGAAATCCAAATCTACATTCATAACCTACGATCAACACTGATTAATGTGAGAACAGTACTTCAAAAGAGATACTTCATGATTTCCCAGGAGCACATGCACAGCTCCCCCCGCATCTGCCGCCTGAAAAGTTTTTAGAAGAGACATAGCCGTAAGGCGTAATCCAACTTTTTGCTTCAAATCTAACAAGGACTGCAGACATCTGCCCTACATCCATCAATATTGTTTAGAAACATCTCTAGCCATGAACCTTCGCTCTTCCATTCCCCGGTCAAGAATATCGCCAACCTGCTCGGAAATGAAGAGAGCACCAACAATGGATTCTTACCTGCACTAGATGTGCAGCTCCTCCTATCCAATTCCATCCATCATCTACTAGATTTGCAACCTGGAATTAAGAAAACATTCAACAACCTATTAATCAACTGCCGAACTATCGTGACCTTCAAGCATTCATGCAGAGCATCCACGTCGCCATGGACATCACCAACTGTAGAGAATGTGAGAAGTGCATCAATTCGTTTGGAGCAACCATACTTGCAATGATTCGCTCCGCTTGCGGGAAAAAAGTCGGTACGACTATGTCTACCTCGGGCTGTGTGATAAAAATCGAAGATTCAATGTGCTCAAGTCAAGCATATGCAAACCACCTGCTTCTTTTCCGATCGAAAAAGGCTTTTGATTCTTTTCAAAGGTTGAGCATTGCAGACGACATTTGCTCGCTGAGAATAAACACGTATGTGCTGTAGCTGACCAATGAATCGAATAAGAGAACCACTAGGAACAAAACTGATCGCACCTTGCAGGCAGATTTATGCAAAACGACTCGTTGCAATGGCGATTGAACAAATGATCCCGTAAATGCAAGAGACTTATCAAAACAACATAACACAGCTAAAATTGAGAAAAGATTGAGCTTCATGGTCCCAACAGGTTCTGCAAGAACCATAAGACAAGAGATTAGAACCATACAGTCTGCATACCTAATGTCGCTGATTATTCATAGAATTTTTTGAATGTAGCAACTCAGCCAGTGTTCAATGCATACGCTGTTGTTGATAAGTCAGTCCACTCGCAACCTCATGCTCTTTTAACAAGACCGAAATCGATCATGAAAACAGGTTCAACCTCCACTCTGCCCTTACTTCTTCAAAACTTATTTTCGACTCAAGTTTCTGTCATATTTCATGTACGTTTGAGTTACATCCATGTTCAACACGATAAGTTCTCATTTGCTGTCTAACTATGATGCTCTGATGATTTCTGAGATGAACCTGTTCCAGTAAACATGAATTCTTCGACTCCAGCTGATTGCACTGAACATAAGCTCTTTGAATTGAACCTCCTGAGAATCGATCTTGACTTAGTATGCTATTCAAGGTTATCCTGAACATTCTGTTTTTGCAAATGTGGGCCAGAAATAAACCCTCTGCAGCCTGATTGGATGCACTTTGTCATCTAGTGTTTTACTATATAAGAATCCATCCAGGTCATTGCTAATAAGATCAAGCCTTGTTATCTTGCATCTAAACTCTCGCGATTCTCCTTTTCTACACTATTCATGGATTCGTTTTCCTCCTCTTACATGGTTATCGCACCTGACTGTCCCCTACCACATCCCCACCCCCCATGGGAGGTGTCTGTACAGGTATCCGTACCCCTCAAATATGCCCAGGGTTCTTTTTGAACCACCCCATCCCCAATTACAACAGACGAGTAGTACAGTGGTACCCTCACCCCCATCTCCATAGTCCATCCTCTCTCCTCTCCACCCCTCCAGCCCATGCCTATCTTGTTCTACCCTACCCTGCTGAAACCAACCAAAAGATCTCAGGTACCCATGTAGAGGACCCTACCCCTTCCATGAAAAGAGATGGCGTTACCGGTCCTAGAGGCACCCTAATCATGACTTCCATAACAGAGAGGGGGGTTATGGATATACTACTAAAAAAATACTAAGCCAAATGGTTTGCGTCCTGAAAGGGGTGGGTCGGACATTACCAAAGGGTGGGTAGTTGGATCTGAAAGGAAGTGCATGGGGTGACGAAGAACGGGACATGTCAAGGGTGGGGTGTTCCAACAAAATAGGGGGTGTCCCTGCAACCCTCTGGCTTATGTGTGGGTCTTGAAAGAGCGAGTGTATATAAACTCTGATGATTCTGGTCTCTTCACGTGACCCTGTGGCCTAATGGACAAGGCGTCTGACTTCGGATCAGGAGATTGCGAGTTCGAGTCTCGTCAGGGTTGCATTTTTTGACTCTGTTAGCCGTCTCCGGCGAGGCAGGCCCGTTGTTTGACTATAACGAGTTGTTCGACACATGTATAGTCAAACGACGATTGAACTCAATCGTCAACTTTTTTTTTATAGAAGATTACCCCACCCCCAAAATCAAGACATTTGAGTGATATATGACCCCGTACTTGCGTGCACAGCTTGCCTTGTGACGAGGCAGGCTTGTAGTCAATGTAGCTATAGTCAAGATCAACAGAGAGGAGCTCTTGAAACCGAACAGTTATGTCCCACCCCCACCCCCTGAAAATATATCGATTGAACCGTCGTACCCCTACTTTGTAAACTCAGAAGACCGGTACTATATCCAACAATCGATGACCCAACCCTGACCAGTCCCTCCATAACCGTCCCTGAACCATGCATATGCGAGTTTGTGAGCAGAGTGTATTGTAGGCGGCTATCATCTTCCGCTTCTCCCGCTTTTCCCTTTGTGCTCGACAGCTTCAGCTTCTCTCTTGTTCCCGCTTTCTGCCACATCCTCTTCTTGGTTTGATCGTGCTTCGTATTGCGCTTGGCTACATCTTTCTTGACCTCCAATCAGCTTCTGGCTCTCACCTTGGCGTGTACGCGCAGACTTTTTTGTTTTTTACACTACGGAAAGTTGCCATTGAGATCAGATTTAATCTTTGACATTTCGAACAGTTTCGATAGATTCACAAGTCATTGGTGTAACAACTTTCTTCTCGTCGAAAATATTTACATTTTCTCCACCTCGCTTCACGATTAATTTTCGTCTCCGACTTTCTGTATGTTAAATATTTCAGTATAGCTCTCTTGTCAAATTTTCACCATCGTGGTTTTTGATTGCAAAAGAACTGATCATGTCTATGAGTGGACAGATCTCAGTGACGAATTTTTTTGATGGATCCAGCCATGGTGATGGCAAAGAACAGGAGCTCAAGAGACCAGCAGGGATATGCTGCTTGCGTTCTTATGGAGCAAAGCTGATGCTTGTGGCCGATGCCGGAAACAATTGCATCAAAACAGTATCTGAGGACGGTTGTATTGAAACTCTTCAATTCGCATGCTCTCAGTACAAGGTTGAACTCGAACAACCCAGAGGTCTTACTTTGAATGCCTCCGGAGAAGTTTTTGTCTCGTATTGCAAATCGCATGTGGTGGCAGCTCTTAGTCGTGGGTCTTCGGGCTTATGGGATATCAGCGTTGTAGCTGGATGCGGAAGGCGAGGATGCCAAGACGGAAGTCATGAATCAGGTCGATTGAATGGGCCACGCGGACTGACATTCGATCCACATGGAGACTTGTATATAGCTGACAGCTCAAACCACCGAATTCGGCGCCTTCGCTCACAAGATATGTTTCTTGAGACTGTGGCTGGCAGTGGAGAAGGGGAAAGTCGCGATGGGACCTTGCTTAATGCCTCCTTTTCATTCCCATACGGTTTAGCTTGGGATGCTCTGACGAACACTTTGATTGTTTCTGAACAAGAGAGTCATAAGATCAGAAGAGTTGATTTTGCTGCAAACTCAGTGACGACAATCGCCGGTACTGGTGAATGTGGTCACAGAGATGGGGAAGCGTCTCAAGCGACCTTCAATGAGCCATGCTTCATCGCTTGTGATCAGCAGGGAAATATCTTTGTTGCTGATTCCCGCAATGACTCCATTCGCTGCATTACACGACATGGCTTCGTGCATACACTCGTAGGGCGACAGGAGCCAGGATCTCGAGTCCACGAGCCAAAGCTGAGCAGGCCGTGGGGAATTTGTATGGTCGAAGAAAGAGAAATTTTTACTACGGATGGAAAGAATCATTCGATTAAGCAAATATCTCAGGCACAAAATCGCTGGGCTCCATCTTGCAACCTTTCTGAAGAAGATCGAGAAAGATCAACACAAGTAAACCATGACATGGAAGATGTTGATCAAACTCGGCCAAAATCTCCGACAGAAGAATTACTGCTTGCTCGATGCATGATGAAAGATTCATCATCAAACAGCCCCTCAGATGTCAGGAAGGAAGGTGGATTTCGTGACTGCGTGGGCATGACTGGAATAGTTTCTTGCACGCTTTCCTTTGGGGAAAAGTACTCTCACGATGCCAAGGAGAGATTTCGTATGGAATCTAGAATTTTATCTGACATTGCTGGTGCTGTCTCGAGTACCTCAAAAAGATTTTCTGTGACTGCCATGCAAGAGGACAAGCGTGGGTGTGTTTCTGTAGAGCTGTCCATAAGTTCTTTGACGGAAGATGACGGGCTCATGTCGTTGTCTCCGTTGCAGATTGCAGAGGAGATTCAGCGTCAAATAAGCGATCCGAGCAGTCCCTTGCGCAACAGTCCCTCGATGAGACGGGTAATGCACTGCCATCTGAACTTGAAGCAGAAGGAGATAAAAGAATCCTCTCGCAACTTCGGTGCCCCGGATATGGTGGGCTTGTTTGTTTCAAATGAAATGCCCCACAAGAAGTCAACGATGGGGCTTACTCTGTGCACCTCTGGTGGTGGATACCGATCAAATATGCTTGAGGCTTCCGACTTGAGTTCCGACTTGAGGACAAGCGAAGAGCAGTATGGTGCCTCGCACGTTGGAGCTCCAGTCAAGCCATGGCAGTGGGACGTGACACGTCGAGACAGCTTGGGGAATAACTCCTGGGAAGCTGCTGGCGGGATTTCTGCGCTTCAGTTGAGTGGAAATTCTTCTCCTCTGAGTCTGCAGTCGTCCACCAGTCCTGACTCTCTTCAGTCTCCCTTCGGAGGAAACGTTGATGCGGTCAGTGACCTGCTGCAGAGCTTCTCCCCTCAAACTCCCAGTCCTCAACTGCAACCAGAAGTGACGAGGTCAAGTGTCGAAGTCGAATATCCTCTGTTTCTCGCTAGCTCGAGCATGGAAAATCGATCCTCATCTTCAGAGTCCCCCAACACCAGCGAGTACACGTTCGAAGGGCTTGAACTCCTTGCAGAACGTTCGAGCAGGAACAATTCTGGACTGTCTGCGATTCACATGGAGGAGCTGAAGAGCATGTCCCCGAGAAAGCTGCTGGCTGCTGTCACTGTCTTGCAGAAGAGACTTGCCGAGACCGAGAGTGAGAAGACTCAGCTGGAGCTGTCACTCGAAAAGCAGAGCCAACACATCCTTGCCTTGAAGGGCCTCTCCTCGTCCCAAGCCAAGGAAGTTGAGTCGCTATCGGCTAAGATCGACGTGCTGGTGAATCAGTTGCGAGATGAGAAGAAGAAAAACAAGGAGACGGCACTGCGGCGGAAGGAGATGAAGGCGTTGTCTCTCTCGCATAATTTTGGACTCGAGCAAGAGCTCCATGCGGAACGAATGAAAGCTGAGGAGTTGCGCAAGTTCTACGAGAGCGAACTCGCAATGGCGAAGGCCAAGATAGAGTGTCTAGAGAAAATGACGGGCAGCAGATGACGCCGTTGTACAAGTAGAAGACAGAAAGTTATTTGTTATTTGATTACATTTTGCTTTTATGAAGAGGATCAACAACATTAAGTTTTGCCTTTGTCAACCGAGGTTGATGAATTTCGTCGGATTGTCAACCACAAGCTGCATCATGCTGTCAGCTCCTCCCGCACTAACAATTCTAGGTCGACCTTTTCGTTTTGTGTTTCATGCTTGGGCTTCTTGGTCACCTCGAGAAACTTCTTCATCATCGCTCGCATCTTCGTCTGCCCCTTGGACGTCAGCATGGCAGCTTCTAGGAGCCAGCAGAGGCAGTAGAGGAAGAGGAAAAAACGAAACAGGACCAGGCGAGAGAGAAAGTGGACTAGAGCTTTGTTGCGAGGAAGAACCTGTCCGAGGCAGTCGACCTTGGGATACAGGTTTGGTTCTTCACACTTGAGTCTTCCATATGCAATGCCTGTCAGCCAACATCAGCTGAAGGAGGACAAGCTGGAGCAGAGGAAGGAAGGAGATCAGCAGCTGATTCACAAGAGGATGAAAAAGGAAGAGGACGGTGAGGACCTGTATTGCGGTACAGGTCTTCTTCCACGATCCCCTCCTGCATGAAGTGAGACAACCGATGGAGGAGCCTCGGCGAACCTTCTCAGCAAGCGCGATGAGCTTCTCGAGATTCTTGATGACCTTTGCAAGTTCCTTCTGCTCCTTGATCCACGGGGAAGGGTCCGGCTGCTCCTCGTTCAGGCCGTCCCCTTCACTTCCTCCTTTCCTACTCCCTTACCTCCTTGCCTTTGGCGACTGCTCGCTCCATCCTGTTTACCCAGAGAGCCTGGGAGTAGCTGATGTAGTTGACGAGTATGGTGTACTAACAACAAGATGAGCTGCAAGCAGTTGGGGCTGCTCCTTGCCTCCCATGACGTCTGGTCGTATTTCTTCATGTCCGGTAGCCTCGCTGGAATCGTGAAATTTCGAGTCTGCTCGAGGCGATCACAAACAGCCGCAGAGATTCGAAGGGGCGAGCAGGAGAGGAAGGACAAGGGATAACTGTTCACCTCCTCCTTGTACTCCTTACTCTTGAGTCGCTTCCTCCCTGCTATAATCCGCATAGCCGTCCCCACAGGCTCAGTGTAGTACCCAGGAATTCCAGGAGGTTGCTGAGGACCAAGGTCACGCAAGGAACATAAGGTGGAGGTGCGACCTGCCCGTTCGACAATTCAGTGCCGTACCATCCTCCCACCAGATAAAACGGTCTTCTGCCGTTCCCGCTCAGAGGGGAAGTAGAAGCAAAGAGAAAGGGAAGAGACGAGCAGGAAAAGCACGAGGAAAGCTTAGGAAGACATAGAGAAGCGGGTGCAGTAAGGTACAATAGTGTTGAAGTTGCAGGTAGTCCAGAAGAAAAAAGCAGGAGCAGGAGCAGGAGCAGGAGCAGGAACAAGAGCGAAAGGAGCAGGAGCAGGAGCAGGAGCAGGAGCAGGAGCATGAGCCAAAGAACAGGAGCAGGAGCCAAAGGAGTACTTCGAGGGGAAGTTGGCGTCAAGAAACTGCTTCATCGAATATGGACAGCATTTCCTGAGTGATTGTAAGGAGGAAGAAGTGCGGGAGGAGCAAAGGAAAGTTCACCTATGCTCCTTGAGCGGGGTTCCACCCACAGCAAATTGAACTCCTAAAAAAACAGTCATGACACGACCAGACAGACTAGGAGAGAAAGCACCAGGGAATTTCATGGGAGGAGCCCATGGAGGGTGCGGAAAGTGAGGGCCATGCATGGTCTGGGAGAAATACAATCCAGTCAAGCAGAGGGATGGGAGTGGGCTTGAAGATAACGAGCAGGAAGGAAGGGGACTTGAAAGAAGATGCAAGAAGCAAACGTTGGGAAGCGAGAAGTGGTGGCGAGGAGGCCTGAGAGAAGAGGAGGAAACGGGGGGGAGGGCAAGAACCTTGAACCACTCGTAGGTCATCATTGGCATGTCAAGATGTGCAACATCAAGTCGGTACTTCTGGCATCTCTACAAAACCGTCAACAGACACTTTGACATATCTCGCCTTCTCTTCCTGATGGTAGCGAACGGAGTTGGTTACCACGTCACCTTGAGTCAACAGAACCGCGTGCTCCGGCCTGAACTTGATTATGATCCTCTTCCTTGTGCTTCTCCCTTTCCCTCCGCCTCTCCTCCAGCATGACCCTACCTATGGTCGAGCATGGCTTTGCCAAAATCATGTGTGAACCAGTTGTCACTCTGATCCATCTTCTCCCAGTTGACCCCCAGCTGAGCAGTGACTGCTGCTAGGGTGAAGAGAATGACGACAGGCCGCCGGAAACTCCCAAGATGAGAAAAAATCTTATCGGCGCCGATGCCGAGGAAAGCGAAGACAACCTAATGAATCTCTTCAGCTCTTGGTGGGCAAGCTAGCGCATCACAATGTGCGGCTGCATCCAGAAGCGAACGTGCACGCCGAAGAAGAGCGGTTCTGAGTGAACAAGCAGCGCTCAATACTCCCATGCAAAGGCTGCAGTGGAGAAGAAGAGCTAAAGCAGGTAGTAGGAGGGAAGAGGAGGGTCAAGGAGCGGAAAAGTAGGCTGAGCCAAACGATGAGACGACCAGGAAAGCGAGTAGACGGGAGAGAGGGCCGAAGAGGGCAAGCAATAGGAGACGGACAACAAGGATTCGCTCACTGTCAAGCGGGAGGTTGGCGAGGTAGTGAAACACAACCATGTAAAATATCATCATAGAAGCAATCACTGCCCCGAACGTCTTGAATCCGTTCTGTCACACAGACCATCAAAGTCTATCACCAATGTGTTCGACCCTCCCTCCCCTCGTCCTTCCCTTGCCTCCTTGCAAGTGTGTTCCCACTGCATCAAACGTTCCCAATAACTCGCCTCTCCCTCACCTGGTAGACGGAAGAAAACAAGCCGAAGGGAGCAGCGAAACCGAGGAAGAGAGAGTCTGAGCGAAAGATGCTGAGCGAGTAGAGCCTCATCGCCAAGAGCTGCGCAATCAGGTCAGGCAAGAAACTTGAAACTGCCGGCTTTCAAGGGGTGGAGGCTATGATAAGGTCATCTTGGAAGCAAGCAAGCTGGGGACGATAAGCATCAGAAAAGGATGGGAGCAAGGACGAGGACGAGCACGAGACCAGCTGCTTAAGTCCACTTGGAGATTCCTTCCCCGAGTACAAGGCGAAGGTCCCATACTCTTTGCGCAGAAAGTGCGTCCAGAAACCAACTGCCGGCCATCCGCTGAGAGTGGAGGTGTCGCCCCACGAGCCAAGAGGAGCTGCGAGCCGCTATGAGTCGCTCTCTCGCCGAGGAAGAGACCAACCGTGAGTAGCAGCCCAGAAGAGGTAGAGGTAAGGAGAAAGTCCCAGCAGCCCCAGCAGCACCAAGATGCTCATTTCTTTGAAGCTTAGCAGCTGGTGAAATCGTCAGGACAAATGATCAAGAGGCGAGGTAAAGAACGAAGAAAAAGCCAGAGAAAAGATTGGCATGGCGCGCATACCTCGTGTCTACCGATGTACAGCATCCACAGGACTAGAGGAAAGGCATAGAGGACGAGGGTGTGCTGGTTGGTCAAGCCAAGACCGATAAAGAGTGCGCCTAATCTATTCTCCGAAAATTAACTCTGATTCTAAAGACGATAACCCCTGGTACCTTGCGAACTTAACTTGCGATTCTTGCACATATCGCACAGTGAGGTATAGGAGAATGGCGATGAACATGTTGTTCATCGCGAAGACCTGCCCATCAATTACAAGAGGTCGAAAATTAGAAGAAGATTTACCTCGGTATGTGTGCTGTATTGCCAGATCAACGGACAAAACGACATGAGCCCTGAAGAAAGCATCGCGATCCAAGCAGATCCTATCCAAGGGTTGTCTGGGCCCCGGGGATGGTACAAGCCCTGAGAGGAAATACGCGTCAAGGACGATGGAGAGAGAGGAGCTTGAACCAGGTGCCATCGAAGAACAGTCTTGAAGTGAAAGAATGAAGCCAATACACCAAAGATGACTGACACACAGTTCATACGATAGCCTGCAGATTGCGAGCGAGTCAACGTGGTGGGTGACGCCACACCTCCAAGTCTCGCGATAACTTGGTTGCTCTGCCTTTGTCCGACTCTCCCACTCTCATTCTTCCCTTCTGTCCTGGTCTTGCTCTCCTCTGTCCTCCTTCTCTCTCTCTCTCTCTCTCTCTCTCTCTCTCTCTCTCTCTCTCTCTCTCTCTCTCTCTCTCTCTCTCTCTCTCTCTCTCTCTTCCCTTCTTTCCTGGTCTTGCCCTCCTCTGTCCTCCTTCATGTTACCTGGGCTGCCCACAGGAATGAGCTGAATACCCAACCACGACAGCATCGTGAAAAGAGGATATCCCGGTGGATGAGCTACCCCAAGCTCGCATGCTGCTCCCATCAGCTCACCGCTGTCGCCACCTTCAGCTCAGGATTAGTTGAATCGTCACTTTTCTCCATCGCATTGTCACCAGCAACAGTTGGGTGCATAGTACGAAGATAGACCGCAAGGACAAAACCAGAAAACGCTAAACCTACAAACCTTCCGAAGTCAAGCTCCTGTTTCTCTGTCTCAGTCCATTCGATCGAGAGTGGCTTCTTCCTGCTTCAAAAAGGATTAGCCATTGAAATAAGTGAAACTCATTTCATACGTTTCCCTTTGTTTCGGCGGCTGGAGTTTCGCTGGCGTGACTTTCTTTTCCTGTTTGCTACCGGGCATCTAGAGATCACACAGGATCAGTTCCGACCACAGAGCAATGAGATCCTTGTGCATAGGCCACTCATGCTGCTCTACTAGTCTGAGATGTTTCGCTGGATCCGATTCTGATGGATCAATGGTGATCACTGGAACCAGCACAGCACCATCGAACTCGTCGACTAAGTGTGTCAAGTTGAATCTGGTACTAGTCTGTAACGAGGTTTCTCTTCATCTCGCCTCGGGTTCTCGCATCCAGGAACTCAAGGCATGTACTTAGCCAGGATCCACATCAACAAAGACCCTCGGCGCTTGTGAAGGGCAGGTCGACTGGAGGCTCTTGCGGGCTCAAGTCCCTCCACCTTCATCTCTTTCCCCTGCAAGCTCCGCCCTCTACCCTCCCTCCCTGCCATCCTGCTCCCTGATATTTCAACCTTTCCCTCCATTTCGACATGGGGCCAGGTCATCTACTTGCCCAGTACCCACACCCATGTGCACCCCACCGGTCCAAAAGTAGTCGCTTCACGGGGTGTAAGGTTGATAAATTGCTCACCCTACCCTTCTAGTACGTGACATGCAGGAGAAGGAACGAGTAGTGGAGGTAAGAAGCAGAGCAGCTTGCACGAGAAGAGAACAAGAGGAGAGATGAAGTCGAGAGAGTTTCTAGGAAGCAAATACAAGGAAGTGATGCAGTCCGATCATAGCCCTCACATCTAGCTCAAGATAAGAGCATTTATTGCTTACATTTCTCCTAGTGCATCTTGGCACGAGTGAACAAATCATGTTATTAAGGAGTGCCCTCGGGATGCAACTTTTTCACAGCCTGCACAAGGGGTTCAAGATCATAGCGGCAAAGCATGCTTAAACATACGGGTGGACCAGGATGTTGCTTCAAATATTGGTTGGACAAAATCGACGACAATGAGTCAGATTCTCTTTGCCCGTATTCAAGAAGCTCTCGTGTCCGCAAAGCATCAGCGTTCTTGTTTGATTTGAATTCTGTTCGCATCCTCTCTCGCATCATCTCGTGAAATGAGGACCTCGTCTGCCCTTCAACAAAAGTAGATGAAACCTCGGGAGGAAACCTGTAGCAGTGAATGTCATGTTTGACTTGACACAGCGGGTGATGACCCTTACCTCTTGACTTGCTGCAAAAGTTTACGGTACAAAGAAAGCACTCGTGGTCTTGTTGGCATGACGGCAGTACTCATTTTATCTCTTGTTAGATTTTCTGCTCCTCAGTGAAATGATGAGCAAGCTTCACAAGACCCAGCGTTTACAAAGAAAACTTTGGACAATGAATTTATCAGAGGCGCTTGTGCAATATTGTGTGAGACCTATCACTGTCTTCGCGAGTGTTTACACAACCTTCTCCTGCTTTACTTCCCCTTCGCTGCCATGAGCACGCGGCGATTTATGAGGTAACCACAAACTCTGGAGCGGGCCCGGGCCCACTCGCTTCGGGCCGGGCCGGGCCGCGCCCGCGGCCCGGCATCGGTCGTTGCGACCGCTTGAAATCCGACCCCAGAGAACTGAACAGAAAAGAGGAATGCCATGATGATGACAAGACAACTGAACAAGGACATCACTGGAAGAACATGAAGCAAAAAGAGCCTTGGAGGCTTGAGAAGTGGCAAATGAGAACACGTGAGGCTATTTTCACTATCCTCCTCATATGTTGTGAATGCCAGACTCCAGGTTGTGCTGTAGCTCACGAAGTGAGGGAAATGATACGACACATGTGTTCTGGTGTAGACCATATCATAGACATGAGGCAACGAAAACGAACCTACCTGATGTGCCTTCGTTGGGACCCGTTTGATGTCGAGATAAGAATGTCTCTTGGTATGCTTGCTCATTCTCAAGGATGGTATGATGAAGCGAAGTGGTTGTTTGAATCGACTTTGAAGCTCCCAGTCAACTCTGCAGCTCAGCACGACGCTCACAATTTTCTTGGTGTGATGCACGAGACAAGCTTCAATGACCCTGGACAGGCAAGACAACACTTCGAGGCTGCTCTCACAGTCAACCCCATGTCTTCTCAGGCGCACCATAACCTCGCCAATCTTTACTGGAGAACATGGAGGAGAGAGGAAGCTTTTGTCCACTACCGCAAGGCCCTTCATATTGAGCCCCACAACACTTTCTTTGTCTACGGCTTAGCATCTGCGATGCTCCAGTCTGATGAATCTCGTGAATCTCTCGAGAACGCAAAGATGTTGTTTCTCAAGGCCATTACACTTTCGCCAAATTTTGCAGATGCGTATAGAGGACTCGGTCATGCTCTCCGGGATCTCGGATTCTACGAGGAAGCGTCGCGAGCGTATCAAAAGTCGTATCAGATGTTCAGCCATCTGAAAGGTGAACAACGGATACTCCGTGCGCATCAAATCGAAGCAAAGCTCCTCCATTTTAGCGCTCTCCTAGCCATTTGTGATTTACACAGCATAGAAACCATTCTCGCCGACGTCAAGGCGAGCCTTGGACATTATCTGGCAGGTCCTGACGAGGTGTCTTCGCACAAGGATGCGATCTCCTATTACCTCGACGTGCACCCACTCAATGTGAACCTCTATGACATCGCCCACATTGTCGACCCCCTCGTCCTGTTGCAGATTGCACGTAGGAGAGGATACGCTCTCACGAAGCTTGTCAAAAGCACTATTCTTTACCAGCAAATTGATTCGTCAAACACATTTCAGAGAAATGTCAAGTTGAAAAACGTTTTCAAGGTAGCAATGCTATCTTCACGATTTGATGGCGACCACTACATTACGCATGCCATCATCACTCTCCTCAAGGCATGCAAGCCAGCACTTCTCAACGACATCGTAATTGAATTTCATGTCATCTCTTCTGCGCGAGTAACCCCCACGAAGGAGCGCACGCTTGTGATGGAGAAACTCAAGAACGAGTCTAATTCATTTATCTATGCATACTCCATGTCTTGGCATCAAATTGCACTTCACATTAACAGCTTGAATTGTCACTTGTACCTCGACCTCGACGGGTAAGGCAGCGCGAAGGGAAACGAGTGCTCATCTATTGTCAGGTATACTCGAGGAGCAATGACAGAGGTGTCTGTACTTCAAGCTTCTCCTCTTCAAGCTCATTGGTTCGGGTGAGTTCGAAAGTGACAAGCTGATTTCTCATCTTCCCTAGTGTTAGCTACACGGGCTAACGTGTCTTTAGCTATACAGGCTCGTTAGGCCTGGAACAGATAAGTCATACATTCCTTGACCGGTGAAACACCTAACTTGTTGGCGTTGGAATGATTTCGATCTCTCAGCATAACAGCTACACCGGAAATGAAGACTCAATTTTCCGAGTCCTTTCTATACTTCCCTGCACAGTATTCTTTTCTTCCCCTCAGAAACTATTCCAGTGACTTTGGAGGATATTCTTGGGGTGATGCGATGCCTACCCGACGAGATTCCAGAGTTGTAGGTAAGATTCAGTTTTCAGGATTTGAAACATACATCATGAAATGTTTTGACCTTGAACGACAGATTGCGAGATTTTGATTCCAAAGATGAATCGATCAAAGATCATCTTTGCCAACTTCAATTCCCTTTACAAGATTGATCCAGCATTAGTGAATGTGTGGAAATCAGCCCTCTTTTCTTCGAATGACAAGTCCTGGCAACTCTGGATAACAAACAGACCCAAGAAAGCAGCAGAAAATTTGAAGAACCACTTGACAGACAGCAAGAATGAATTGAGGCAGTGGAGTGAAAGCGAGGATGAGTCGCTTTCACATCAATTTTTCACATCTCAAGAGAAAGAGAAATTCTCCGATGAGTTGATACTTGTTACAGACTTGCAGTCAGCAAAGGACCATATCAGAGTCAAGGTATGATTGATGCGCGTTTTGACTATCTGACATCTTCCAGTCCTGTGCCGATATTTTTCTCGACTCCTTCCGCCTTGGAAGTCACTCAACGGCTGCAGATGCACTAGCCGCTGGCCTGGTGCTAGTCACTCTTCCGCATATAGGAGCGTTGTCTCGAGGTCAGATTCTTCCCTTTCTTGAATTCTAAGTGTTCACCGTGTCCTCAAGTTGCGTCAAGCTTACTGGCAGCCTCCGGTGCCAGTGCAACGATTGTCAGAACCAGCCAAGAATATCACGACCTTCTTCAAGTTTGGACTCGACGGACTGTCTTGGGTGTGCGCTACATGCGGAAGAGACTATCAAGACGAGTTTACAGGTCGGATATCTGGAGGCACGAGCAATGGGCAAAGGTTCCGATGCTACTACTTGCCGCTATTCGAGATTTCTAATGAGCTTGATGCCCACAGAAATGGATCTCGCTGATCCGCATGTGGTGGGACGCGTATGTGGCTTTGAGCTGCGAGTGGCAGCTGGTGGCTTCATGAAGCAGCAGCACGTCCATGATGCCAGCAGCAAGCCCTCATCAGCAGGCTGTAACTTCACAATCATCTGCCAACCCCTTCACTTGCTCAGCCGCTGGTCCGCCTGTGCCACCTCGAGCCCGAGACGTTTAAGTGCACGGGTACGTCTAGAGCAGAGCCGAGAGAAAAAAGACTTTTCATCATGGTGACGTCATGCTCTAGGTCCGGTCTGAGTCGACATTGTGTCTACATCTTTCCGATACTCTTGTCGTTTTCATCCTCAGAAGCCAGCAAGATCGCACATGACAAAAAGACATACAAAGCCTTTTCATGTACAATTTTTTTCACAAAAACAGCCAAGACTCGTTTGTTAGCAATATATTTTTTGTGAACAAGTGAGAGGTATGTCCAAGTGTAGTGCTCTTTCAGTGCACACATGGAATCTGAATGAAATCAAAACTGGAGGTTTGAACTTCATAAACAACCAGAGACTTACCCAGAGGGTCCCCCACGGCAACAGAACGAGAAGAAGACAACAATCGTTACGAGAGGTCACAAGTGCTTTCTCTAGTTGCTACATAACCCTCAGTCAACCTTCAGTCCTTTCCCCCCCTCCTTCATACCGGATTCTCCTTCGCTCAACTGTCGTCGAGTTCAAGGGCACACCCAACAGTACAAGCAGCTGTGCTCTGCATGAACACTGGGTCGCAAACCAGCACTCCAAGCTATTCAAACTGTTTGAGATGTTCTTGTCCTGACATCAGGCTCAAGTATGCAGTATGGCCGAGACGGTTCGATTCGTCTTATCTTGCAAAATAAAGCCCCTTGCTAGACCTGGCACTATCACTTTTACTATATTTTAAATTTAAATATATAATAAATCTCCTGGCCTCTGATCTTGTACTGAGCTGAATAAAAGTATGTTTTAAGTGAGATAAGTACGTATTTTAGTACATTGTAACGTGTTTTTGTATCCGGATATTTTATAATATTATTATAGCATCCACCACGTGACCCCACCACCCCACCACCCCATTGCTCAACAGCAAAATGTACCCTTACCCCCTTCTTTACCATTGAGTACCCCTGTTTTTCTCTTCAAGATCCCCTCGTCGTTTATCACGTACTACCCACGAAAAAACCCCAATCTGTCGTCCCCCTCTTGTAGCCGCCGCTATGCAAGCCAGCCGCCCATGTTTGGCTCGAGGCGCTGCCATGGCGAACATGCGACCTAGCAGATCTTTACCATCTTCCTCTTCCATGCATTCTGCTTTCTATTCCATGCCGCCTACTTCTTGCTCCATGAGGTCCTGCTTGCCCCGCACAGGCTTCACCTACCCACGGGTCGTGCAATCTCGTACCTTGTTTCATCTAAACACGCAGCAAGCCGACTGGGAGATGAAAGATCTTGATATGCAGGCACTTGAAAAGCTCAAAGGGTGGGATCTTTTATGGGCCCTATCCGAGCAAAATGCAACGCCAGTTGCTCTTTCCGATCTGTACAGAATAGGTTGTGACACTTCATCTAGAACAAGGATAAAGTTCGGACAATTTCTCCACCGAGAGCTGGTGAGGTTTCGATGTCGATGACACTTTCTGGCTGATCTTATGACAAAGGCTATACGGCTGGCACAACGAGCGGTCGAATTGTCAAGACTTCCGCATGGCCTCTCCAATAAACCGTCCGTCAAGAATGTGTCGGGTTGGTATGCCGAGGCTTCATGTGCAATCGCAGCATCGAAGAGACCGGTGGATGATGCCTCTGAAGATGAATTTACCAAGTTGCTCAAGAGAATTCTGAGGGACCATACGGCAGTTGTTCGGGTGCGTTGGGCTCCATGCACGCCATGTCATTGCCTGACTGACAGCTTGCAATTCCTAGGGCTTGGCTCTAGGCTGCATCGAGCTGAAGCAGGAAGTTGGACCAGAACGATGGATGCAGCTGCAAGCAGACATTGATCGAGTCCTGACATCCTTTTACACGTCTCGTATCGGAGTCCGTTTCTTGATGGAGCACCACATAACTTCGAAACAGCACGTAGAGGGTTACAGCGGTATTTTAGCCAAGGCGTGCAGACCAGATGACATAGCAAGGAATGCAGCGATGGATGCGATGGATCTCTGCTACAGCTTCACGGGAGCCTCACCAAAAGTGAACGTAGTTTGCAAGAATCCTCATCCCATGATCACATATGTCCCTTCTCACATACATTACATGTTAACAGAGGTGAGGTATACGTTCGTCCTGAGATGTTTCACTGAGCTTCTTCATGTCAGTTGCTCAAGAATTCCGTGCGAGCTGTTGTTGATACACATAAACAAACGTCGCAGAAGCTGCCAGAAGTCACAGTAGTGGTTGCAAAGGGGGAGGAGGACATTACCATCCGAGTGTCAGACGAAGGAGGTGGAATCCCGCGATCACAAATGACCACAATGTTTTGCTTTCTACATACAACTGCAGAACACCCAGAAACACAAAGCTCGGAAAGGATGTTTGGAAACCCAGGGCAGATGAGAGCAACGAGTCAGAATACGCCTGTTTTGGCAGGTTGGGGTGTAGGCTTGCCATTGAGTAGGTGCAGTAGTTGCCATTGTTCGTTAACGCGCGATCGTGATCGATTGGCAGAACTTATGCTCGATACTTTGGGGGAGATCTAGACATCAAGAGTATGGAAGGCTATGGGACGGATGCCTACCTACATTTGAATGTCCTTGGCGACGGTTGTGAGAATTTGCCCAAGAAGGTTTGGCCCTTGGTGTTGGAACTCCTATGAATCGTGATAAATTTGAAAACAGGTGCTTGATAGTCCTTCGATGCGAGATAGCAGCTGGCGACCTTGGGAGGTCTTGAATTCCATCCAATCTGTCTTCTTATCCTCTTTGACTTTTGCTGCAGGCAAACATGTATGATCCATTGAGAACGCATGACGCGTACACTAGACGAGTGTATTAATGTGTAAACTGATCTCAAATTGAATACTTTGATGTTCCCAATATGGAGATCAGTGGATTTCAGAACCGTTCCAGGTTCACTCGGAGTCGGACCGTACAGCTTTAATAGCGGATAGGCTGAGTTAATCATGTCACTATGTCCGTGAGCCTGCCAGTGGTTCGGCTGTGCGCCGCCGTCAGCGTGTGAGTCACGAGTCTGGTCACTAGTAGACTTGAAGGCGAACTCGGACCCGGGCCAGCGGCACTGTCATACTGGGACGCCGCGGCCGGTCGAGCCGCGGGTCCGCCTCACCACATCCAGTAGCGAGAAGACAGCGGTATAATTGAGTCTAATAAAACTAAGTGTGAATTGCTGTCTTTCAAAGTATTTGAAAATAACAACGGTAGAACCTTGTATGTCTCCACCCTCCTCCCTGCTCCGACAAGTTCCTCCCTTGCTTCTCACTATCGTTTCTCCTCTCCTCTCCTCTCTGCTCTGCTCTGCTCTGCTCTGCTCTGCTCTGCTCTGCTCTGCTCTGCTCTGCTCTGCTCTGCTCTCGTCTCGTCTCCTCTCCTCTCCTCTCCTCAACTCCACACTCCTGGATGCTTTCTTCCTCTCCAAGCCCCACTGATCCTCTTTCCTCATTGACTTGCCTTATTCCTCCTGCTGAATTTGCTGAGAACCACCTTTGCCTGTACCTTCTGCCACCACTGAGTACTCAGTTTAGTTTAGTATCAGCTTCAGTGTATGCCTACTCACGATTCTTCCACATTTCTTCCCCGACCATATTGTTTCGCCAGATTTGTTGTTGTTGTTGGGGATTTCGAAATCCTAGTCTCTTTGGCATCAATCCCAAATCAATGCACTAAGCCTATTTTATAGCAAACACGAACAAGGAATCCTCGTTCTAATTTGAACCAGTCTTGTAGATGTCTAGCTTCACTCCGTCATCAGCGACAACCAGGTCAAAACTCAGTCAGGTACAAGTGTACTACTTGACGACGCCAACGAATGATCGCTTTGTTTTGCATATCGTCGGTACAGTCCTGCGGTACTGGGACGTCGAAATCCCTGCAATTCGAGAAGTTACAAGAAGTGATAGATGCTTATCCTCATCTCTCCGTTGCTGCTCGCGCTGCCTTGCTGGAGTCTCCGTGGACCAAAGGAAACAAGAACGATGAGAACCAGATGTTTGGATCTGCAAAGAAGAGAGCTGGAAAGCTTGTTGCAAGTCGTGCCCTGCAATTCGATACTCCCAAGAAGATGAATTCCAGTCAGGACAGAATTCCTTTGAGCCTCATGGATATCAACAAAGATTCTTCACCCCACGTCAATGTTCAGAAGAGAACAGGAGATGAGCATTCAAAGGCCCTTGACATCGGAAAACGCAAACGCCTGTCTTATCCCAAGCCCGAGAATCCTGAAGATGAGAACGTCACCCAGCTCCTTTTGACATCCTACTCCTCCCAGTGTGATCAGGAAGAGGACGCGGCAAGCCGCCAAGAAGCTGCCAAGATGGACAAGACCCACGTGCAAGTTGAGAGTGACGAGACTAGGAAAGAAGACACCAAAGATGGGTCACTCGATGTAGCTGCTACTCTACCGGAGAGTGCAAGCTTACCAAAGTCTGAGCTTCCTCCTTTGACGATCGACGAATTGTTGTCAATCGCACAACCAACAGCATGTCAAGCTGAGGTCGAACGTGATTGCAGCGACAGCCCTGTTCCTTCAATCAAATCCAGTTCGCTCCCAGACGAAATTGAAATTGAAACCTACTCGTTGCTTGTCACTGAAGCAATGGATCAGGTCAAACACAACGTTCTTTTAAACTTCACCAACAGTTTGGAAATTGACCTGCAAGGTTGTGGTGCAGTCAACACTCGAGAGGGTTCTTGCGATGGAAATGAAGTTGACGAGTTAGAATGTAGCGAAAAAAAAATGACGAGCGAGACAAGGGAAGCTGAGGCAGCGGAGGAGCACAACGTGGATAACATTGGATTTCATTCGCCTTCCTTTAGGTTTCAATCAGACAAGGAAGAATGGTTGAAGACAGTGAATCAAAACCTAGAAGGAATATCATTTGATCTGAACACACTGAAAACAACAATAGATGTTCTTCAGTCAGAGAAGCGCTTGTTACAAAACAAACTTGAGGAACTGGAAGCTGAAGTCTCAAAGACGCAAAACTCAATGATGATTCCGAACGAGGAATTTCGATCTTTGGAATCAAGGTATTTGATTTTGAAAATAAAACGTGTGACTGATGACTTTTTGCAGGTTAAGAGCACTTGAGCAGAGCACTGCTAGGCGAGATGAATCGCAATCATGCATTAGCTGTACAATATCGTAATCCTGCTAGAACTCTTGGGCTTTGTTCTGAGAGATTGATTTCATCTTGTGTCATGCCCTAGTGAATCTTGAAGCGCTTTTGCTTTCTTTTGCTGCCTCAAAAGATCTTTCTTGAGCATGATGATCCTCTTTATCCGGTCCTCTTTTGATTCGAACTCAATATTGTCGACATCAAACTCCACTTGAGCCTCTTCCTTCTCGCCAGGTGGAGCGGATGATGTCTGTTCTGTATGGATTGCATCTCTTTCCACATCCATAACGCTGCTCGTCAGATAACCCTCAGCATCTCCCGCGCGTTCTTCCCTCGTCAATTCTTGGTCCTGTGGAGGCTGGAGAGCACCTGGGCAGAGCAAGTAAATGTGTGTGAGGTTACGGCAGGCAAGCAGATATACCTTCTCTTGCAAACTTGTCGAAAACTATCAATGGAATAGGCAAACCCCCTGAGTTATCGAAGATGGAACCTGTCTTGCTGACACTCGCTTCCAGCAACTTTTCGTGATGCATTGGTTTCAATGCAGGTCGCCTTTGCTTTCGCTGACAGCGAGAGACTCAGATACTTGGGAAGGACATGGTTGGAGCAGTAATCACCTTGTTGGTCGGGTGTTGAAGGCTGTAGATGGATTTAGTGACGTCATGCTTCATCTTGATCTCTAACGTGTTGGTGATCTCATCCCATGGGTGACGGTCCATACATCCAGGTCGTGTGCATGTGGAGCCATACCGGCATCGATTTCTATTGAATAGCTGTATTCTCTTGGATGCCTTGTCGGTTCCGAGCAAAAACGGCTCCCCAGTCGTCTGAGACTGCATCATCTTCTTCTTCTCTCTTGCTTCTTCGTACAAACGCTGCACCTCTCGTCGGGCATTCACTTGAGCATGAACACAAGCCAGCCGATGCAGCTCCGAGAATTCTTCCTTGACGCTATCTTCACGGTTCTACATCGTCAAGTCAATACGGTGCAACAAATCAATTTCAAGTGGAAACATTACAATAGCTTCAACATCCTTTGCAGCTTCGGGATGATTGCGACTGGGATGTGAACTCTGTTGGCGGGCTTGTTGTAGATTTTTGTCTACAATGTTTGTGTGTCTCTCTATTCTTATCTTTGCAAATGCTTCCAGTGCTTGAGAAAGCTCGATTTCTTCAGCTTCCGATGAAATGCCTTTTTTCTTCATTCTCACAGGCTTCAAGATATCAGGTAACATAGAAGATGAACTAGCATCTGCAGAACAGTATCATCAAGCACACAGAAGGATGATCTAGCTCATTGTTTCATACCTCATCTCATCTCTCTCTTGATCTTCATTCGTCATCGTTGAACCCTCCCATCATGTTCGCCTTGCAAGCGATCAACGGCTCTAGCCCTCACATACCACCCTATCTTAAACACGCACCACCCCTCTCTCTCCTGCAATCCACCCCCTGGTAGAGAGTGTTTCCCTGATTCTACCAGCGGCACACAACCCTTTGGTTTTTACCCCCCAATGGAGTGACCTTTTAGGGGGTGGGGGTGTGAAGATCGCCAAGGCTATATTGGGAGGATGGCGGGTCGGAGGAATGCTGCGATTGCAGCAGGAGCAGCTCTGATACTGCTGCTCCTCGCAGTCTCCTCCTCCTCCTCCTCCTCCTCCTCCTCCTCCTCCTCCTCCTCCTCTTTGGCGTTTTCCTTCAGCAGATCATCAACGCGAGCTGTCGTGCTTTCACTTCAGAATGCTATTGAAGGATTTATGCAGTCACACAATCTGAGTGAAGACCAAGAGCTTGCGCAAAGTGCTGAGAATGATCTTCAGAAGAAGATTCAGCAAAAAGAGCGTGTGTATGAGGTACTTCTGTATACGCTTGTTACCTTTGCCATCCTGACCTCGAAGAAAAGGTGACGGTTCCCAAGGGAGTCGAAGCGGGCCAAGACTTCGTGACTGCTGTACCTGGGCATCGTGAACGAGAGATTCTTGTGCCGTCAGGCGTCAAGCCTGGTGAGACTATCAAGTTTGAAGTGAAGCAACGGTCTTCTACAAAACCTGTTAAGGACAGCACCACCAAACCATCTGGTTTGTTTCATCAAGTGCAGAGTGCGGCATCGAATGCGGTAAAGCAAGTGTACGACATGTTCAAAAAGTCAAAAATTCCCAAGAAGGAGATGATTAAGATGCCAAGACTGCAAGCTCTGACTGGAAAAGCAAACCCTGAATTTCTCTCGGCTGACCGAGTATACAGCCTGGAAACTTCAATCGAACAGCAGCGATGTGCAAGCATGTGCGGGAGTTGCATAAACGCGGTGGATACTTTGCAAACCGAACGAGACTGCATACCATGTAAACCTGTGTGCGAAAACATCTTTGCGGGAAGAAAGGGCATTATCAGAAGCCTGTTCCCCGAGGACTTGAAACCTGCAAAGTCAAGCTCGGAGGCGTTAGGTGAAGTGCACAAGAAAAGCCCGTCAGCATATGCTCAGAGAAGAGGTTCTAGCACCGTGATAACGCCGTGGGCTGGTCCTACTCTTCCTCCCACGCCAGACTCGTTTCAAGTCCCCACAACATTTCAAGCAGGAGATGCCTATGATAAGCAGCGCCTCCTCGCTCCTGGCCGCGGGCAGGTTCGGATTGACCTCAGGAAAGCGGATGAGCCTTTCCACACCGCAGCCTTCACCCGACCCAAGTTCAAGTCAGAGTTGCCAACCTTTGTCATTGACTATCCTGACAAGCAGAGCGATCGTCCTCACTCGGAGGCAGCTCCTTCATCGCCTTTCTTCCCTCTCTTCGGGTATAACGTGGAGACTTCAGGTCTGCCCAGCTCGTTTCAGAGACCTCAGACGTACGGGATGCCTGGAGAGGAGGTGGAGGAAGCAACTCCTCTTATTCGGAATGTTGGATCCTCACAGAACGACTGGGACTCAAAGTACCCAAGCCTCCGACCTATCCCCGCCCTCCCTCCGCTGAAGCAGCTTCATCATCCTGTAAATAGACCACAAGATGTCTTCAGACACTGGGACGGGAAGTCGATGAGAGTGTTGAACGTTCTCCCAGAAACTCCTGGCGGAATGATCGATCTCGATCCTCATAACTGGCGATCAGCGCCGAAAGAGGAGGAGGTTCCAGCAGCTTTCTCAGATGCCTACACCCAAGTAAGAGAGGGAATGAACGCAGCGGCGAACGCGCAGCTTCACTTCCATGCGGGTCGAAAAGATGGCGTGAGCTACAGGGAGTACGGAGACCTTCCTTTGGTGATCGCAAACCAAATGAGCCCGTGAGATTGAAAGTGTTCATTATGATTGAAAGATGAGATGAGATGAGATGAGACGAATAAACTATATACAAGTGCAAGTCTAGCTTATGCCCATGGGTGCCATAAGCAGGGCATTGCAATCTGTTTGACGGGATCTGCCGCTGCCATAATGAGGGAGATGACTTTGCCGTTGATGGGCTGACCGAGCTCTCCGTCTTTGACATCCTTCTCCGCAGCCAGGGCAGTCATGGGCGACAAGTCGTTGACCCTTTGAGACACCTGCAGTGATAAAATGAGACGCGCCCCTGACAGGAGGAGGAGGACGATGAGGACGATGATGATGATGATGATGATGACGAGGAGGAGGAGGAGGAGGAGGAGGAGGAGGCCTCACCTGCTGTGCACACTCGTTGGCTCTAGCCAGCACTGAACGTCCATGATCTGTCACTGACTGTGCAGCGCTCTGCCCGGGCTTAGGGGTCGGGCTACTATAAGCCAGCAGCTCCTCCCTCAAGAGGATGCACAGGTGATGCCGCAGCTGGCGGTTGGGATGATTGAGGGCCATGGCCGCAGCTCCCATCGCGGCGGAGAAGCCACCCTCCAACCCGACGGGCGAGAGAAGCGTCGTGAGCATGCGGGTCATCCTGAACGGCACCATGTCTGTCGAGTCCTGCATCCTCGTGCACTCCTTGTTCAAGCCCGGAGTTGAGGCAAGGAGCATGACGTCGCCCTGCAGCTGGCTAAGTACAAGCTTGGCGGGCGGAGGAGGAGCTGTGAACAGCACATGGGACACCAACACCTGGAGGCTCGTAAGCGACGGAGGATACAAACAACATGACCGACCTGGCAGGCGTACTGCACAGCCAGATGCTTGCGGAAGGACCAGAGGTGTGCATTGGAAGGGATCTGAGAGCGGACGTAGTCCAGCAGCACGGTTTCAGGCAGGATGTCAGCCACTTCGTTCATAGCGGCCATGAGCGGGTCCTTCTCTATCTTGGATCTGCGTCAACCGTCACAAGAGCAACGCACACGTCAGGAGCGTACAAGGCTTGAGCTTTCTCAGCGAACTTGAGAGCGACGCCGTCTGAAGTCATTCCCTTGGAGATGAGAAAATCTTCCAGAACTTCTAACAAGGAGATTGACTTGGGGTCGTGAGAGATGAGTCTGCATCGAGGGGCTAGGCCAACGATGGGGCGAAGGTGCAGGTTCATGTTCCTGCGTCGCGTCTGCTTCTCTTTCTCCATACATCGATTCATGAACTGGCAAAGAAACAGGGTCCTCTCGTCACTGGAACTCACAGTTGTGCCTGTCGCCTCCACGATGAAGTGATACAGCTTTCCATCATTGCCACGGATTGTGATCTGACGATGACAAGCCAAGTTGATGTCCACCAGCTCGATCTCAGGTAGAACTCTGTCTACTTTGACATGCTGGTCTGTCATGGGCTCATTCATATCCAGGTACTGACCGGGAACCTCCATCTGGGACCCCTTGGACTCGGCTAGAGCTCTGCTTAAAGACTGTATGCAAGTCAACTTCTAGCAACACGAACGGAGCATCCAATACCTCCAGCTGCTTCGGAGCTGCAGCTCGTGACAACTCACGTCGGACCGCAACTTGCCATTTGCGCAGCATGAGGTACAAATCTTTGTTGGTGGCAAAGCTGTAGGATCCATTCTCCTTGAAGAAGCTTGCCGTCAACAGAGGCTTGTAGGTCGAGAGAAATTCAGTGAGCTGCAAACTCTCTTTGCTTGGCTGCCCCTTGCCTTTCTCCTGCTCAAAGATCAATAAACGTGCTCAACAACATTCTGCAATTCCACCTGCTCTTGCTGCTGCTCCAAGACAGTCAGGAGCTCAGACAGCGCACTCTCCACCTTCTCCGCGACCTGCTCGAACGTGAGGAAGAAGTTGGTCACTGTCCCTGCAAATGTATCACCTCGGTCGTGAGCGGGGCCGACAAGTTGAGGGAGGTCATTGAGTCCATGCATGCACTGATGATGTGCTGCAGCTGCTGCTCCCACGAAGGCTTGAAGGACCTTGTGATCTCTACCACGAACCTCTCCGTCTCCAGGAAGAAAGCAAGGTGAGTGTCTCGCAGGTGCTTCATGATCTCTTGCGCGTGCTGTCGAACTACCATCGCAGCTCTGGCTTCAGGGGTTCCACCCGCTGCCGAAGCCTCTTGCTTAGCAGCCACGCCTCCAGCCCCCTGAGGAAGTACAGAGACGCATCAGAAGCGCTGTGGGCACTACATGACAACAAGCACACCTGCGACGTCGATGCTTGCGGGGTTGTAGCTCCTGTTCCAGCCGCAGCCACAGCCGCAGCCGCAGCCGCAGCCGCAGGGCCAGCGGCAGCGGCAGCGGCAGCTCCTGTGCCTGCGGCAGGGGTAGATCCAGCTCCAGCAGTAGCTCCAGCAGTGGCCGCGGCCCCGGCGGTTGCTCCACCAGCCCCAGCCCCAGCTGTACCTCCAGCTCCTGGAGTTGCAGCAGCAGATGGAGTTGCTGCCTTCGGAACTGAGGTACCGCCATCGCCATCTGCTGCTCGACTTTGTCCTTGTTTTTCAATCAGGAATCGCCTCAATGGGCAGTAGAGCGCTTGAGGAAAGTCTGCAGCCAACTTAGAGAGGAGTTTGCGGAATCTTGTCGCCTATGTCAAAGTCAGAGCAAAACAAATTGCACGATCCTTGCAGGTTCACCTGCGGCCTTGCAAGGGCCCCAAGCAGCAGCGGAATCCAGCTGATCCAGTTCCAAGATGGGATGTTGTCGATGCTTTTCTCGAAGTGCTCGCCCAAGGAAGGCTGCAGAGCGTCTCAACTCCCACAAGAAGAACCAGATGACTAACCTGTTCATCGTATGTGTCGAGGAGCCAGATAACCTTGGCGAGCATCATCCTCGCCTTCTCTGACCCATAGCGAACTCCCTGAAGGTAACAATTCATCGCATCGGCTGTGAGCTTGTTTCTCTGGTCCACGTCTGCTGGAGTGTTTCCTCCCTTGTCGATCTTCGCCTGGCAAAAGATAAGAACACTTTTAACAACCTTGCGAGGTCACCTGAAGCATCGCGTGAAGCACATTGCCCCAGCTCACCCAGGTCTTGCTCTGAGTGTCGGCGGTGATAACAGCAGTCGAGAGGACGTCGTTTGCCTCGCTCACTCTCATTTGCATCGGATTCCTCTGATCAGGCACACGGAACAAAAACTCTCCCTTGATTCGGAGGATTTCTGCTCGATCCCGAGGGTTTTGCAGGTAGTCCAAGTTGGCCTTGTTGATGAGGTTCAGCCCTTGAGTAAGGTCAGGCTGCGAGCCCAACTCCAAGCGGCTGAGAGCTTCTTCGCGGATCTTGGAGTACGTGTGCTGGCCCTCAATCCCCGGACCCGCCATGATCTTCTGCAAGTAGTTAATGCACACCTGAGGCAGGCCCTGTTTCCTGGCAGATTCAGCGAACTTGATGTGAGTCCAAGTCTCCTCGTGCTGTCCCAGGGCATTGAGCGCTGTCTTGATGTCCTGCTGGTTCTGATTGCATTCGACCAGCATCTTGAAGACGTGGTTCCTCCAAGTGAGCAGCTCATACCATACAGTCACTTCGTCCCACTTGTTGGGAAGCCTCTCTCTCCAGGCAGTGATGGTGTTCTTCAGATCCGGCACTGAGTTGTGACGCATGCTCTTGTTCACTTCATCAAGCAGCATTGCTGATTCATTCAGCTCCACCAGCTGATGAAAAGTTTGCATGAGAGGAACATAAGCCTGAACAGTAACCTCTGGAAGCAAGCACCAGTTCTTGAGAGCATATTGGAACGCTTCTTGCACATGCTTCTCAGCATCCTGCAGACGCCATTCTTGAAGAGCGTTGTAGATGTCGTAGATCTTTGTTTGTCCGGGGTCTGAGGGCATCGGGTCTTGCACGAGTTCTCTCATCGCGGCCCAGTCGCTTGTCTTCCAGGAGCACTCAAGCTGCAGGTCGAACTGACTGATCTCCTTTGCATACGAGGTGAGCATGTCCCACTGATTCAGATGCTTCGCGCACTGTACCCACTGCTCCTCCCAGATCGTCTTCTCGGCCTTGGGGATGCTACTCAATGAGCCCGACTGCTGCGACTTGATCATCGCGCCGAAGAGAGAGTCTTGAGCCTTCTGCCAGCAGCCAAACTGAAGGTACGAGATCGCAACTTTGCTCTCGGGCATGACACTTTGTCTACACCACAAGCCGTACATGACGTCCTGCTCACCCAGGCGTTTGTAAAGATCTGAGAGAGCATCGATGACTTCGACTGGATCATCCCTTCGACCGTCCGACGAATACTGCAGGCTCGTGATCTGATCTTCGAGGATGCTCAAAGCAGAATGCCAGGCATTGAACGTTCGACCTGCAAACCTCAGCACAGGAGCTGAGATGGCAGGAGGAGGGCGACAACGATGAACAGCCTCGAGAAGACCCTGAGAACAAGGTGAGACGTGGGACTAAGGAACCGAGAGTTCTTACCTGAACAACATTTGGCCTTCGAAGGTCCTGGAATTTGTTGCAATCTCTAGCAATGAGCATCCCAAGCGGCTTCGTCAAAGCTTGTTGCTCATCTGAAGTCAACGAGGACCAAGAATACGGGAACAATTCGATCCACATGCTATGAGCAAGGGCGTTGCTATGGTGTAGTAACTCGCACAAAGGATGTAAAAGATTTCCCATGGTGGACTCGTAGAGCTCGTTCAAGAATAAGTCGTTCTGATCCAAGATGGCTGTAGATTTGCCTTCAGGCGGAAAGAGCTCTTTGTTGCTCGACTTGCAACCTTCGCCTATCTTAGTGTTGCTATTTGCTATGCATAGGATGAGCTCCACAGCGTGCTTCAGCCAGTAGCTGTCGCCAATCGCATCCCACTCTTGCTTCTGGATTATATGAGTCAAGCGATGGAAGAGACTTCGATTCACTTGTCCCTCGAAGTACCTGAGGTTCAAATTAGACGGGAGCAAGCAGGCGGGGAGTAGGCGAAAGAGTCTTACCGAAAGAAGTTCTTCCTCATCGACGGATCCCGGCATCTCAATCCTATCATGCATGCTCGATGTACCTTCTGTACAAGCTCAGGTTCTGGAGGCGATGGATTTGAGATAATGTCGTAGACCATCTGCAAGAATATGGTATAGGGAGCTGGATTGCGCGCATTCTCAAACTGCATCATCTTATGTACAAAGCTTGTCTTCTCAACGATCTTCAAGCCTGAATTGGGGTCGGTGACCCAGTTGCTGACAATATTTGCGACCTCAGACAGGACCTGAGGGTCGTTGGGCTTCTCTAATTGAGTACATCGTTCAATCAGTCCTGAGATTGAGATGATGAAATTCTTCCTCTGATCATTGAGAATGTTCAGGCGCGTCGACAACAGTTGGATTCCCATCACGAGGATTCTCGTGATGAACTCCTGAGCCTCCGTATCCTGTTGACTCTCCACCTGTCGAGCGCGATTGGGCTGGACGTTTTGGCAGTGCTCTCTCGCAAACTTGTGAACTACCTTAGCGAGGGTCTGGGCGAAGTCATCAACAATCTCTGGCTTCTTGGGCGCAAGAGCCTGTAGGACCCTCTCTGCGTTGTGGATGCTGCATCGCTCAACTCTCCCAGTCGTCTGCTGGGGCTGCTGGGCAGAAACATACTGAAGACCCTTGTCGATGAACTCTTTTACCCATGTGATGAACTTGGTCACACATTCGTTCGCGTCCAGCGGCGCTGGGAAGTCAACAAACTTGCTCACCATTCGACAAAGAGCGTCGATCACTTTGCCATTGTCGCATGGCAAGCAGACGTCCAGCAGCAGCTTGATCGCATTCTGATTCAATGCGATCGCACCAAGCATGCTACGCTGCAGCAACGTGTTCATAATCTCTAGGCCAGTGAAGATGTTGGCGGCATGATTGTCGCTCTTCTCGATAACCTTCTCGAAGTACTGAAATTTCAAGACAGCATTCGGCCAAATCGACAGAGCAGTGTCCAGCAGCTGCACACATTTCTCGCTAAGATTTCCTTGCTCCTTCTGTTCTGCGGTGACAAGTGCCACTCGCATCAAAAAATTCACAACCATCTCGATCATGGTTGCGTTTGGCTGGTAATCATCGTCTCCCGATGCAGGATGCCCTGCCGCCGCCGCCGCCGCCGCCGCCGCCGCAGCAGCAGCAGCAGCCGCTGCACTAGCAGCAGCAGCAGTACCTGTGGCGCCAGCCACGACGGTACTGGTGGCGGATCCAGTGGCAGCGGTACCAGCGGCAGCTCCAGCAGTAGCAACAGCGGAAGTTCCAGCAGACGTTGGAGTAGTGGCAGTAGCGGGTTGGGAGACAGCCGTTGTGACTGCCCCGGAGTCTGTGCGAGCCTTCTTGACGGCGCTGGCATCTTCCTTTCCTCCCTCGGGCTCCTCGCGCTTCTTCTCCGTCTCTGAGCGCTCAGAGCGCTCTGCCTCTGGCTGAGGGGCGTCGATTGCCATCTTGTCCGTCGGCTTGCTCGCCTCGATGCGCTTCTTGTCCCAGGTGATCACCAGCTCTGCCAGATCGACCGCAAGTTTTCTGTTCTCGGGCGGACAAGAATTTGCCATTCCGATTCGATTCAAAGAATTCACCATTTGAGGCACAAACTGAGCTCGGCTCGTGTAGAAGAGGCTCGCATGTCGCACTAGGAAGTGCCAAATGTGAATGAGATGGGGGAGGGAGTGACCTTCCTCTACAATGATCTTCTTGGTGTAACGAATCCATATCGGGTACTTGTGATCTTGAGGAGGCAAACGCTTAGGAAGGGCTGGAGTCAAGATGTCTAGCGCCTGCTTCAACAAGGGTCGCTGCTCTGGCTGGAAGGCTCTCAGGAGAGCCACGTACACTTGGAGGATGATCTTGTGAGGAGCATCGTAGGCCTCGATGAACCTACAAACGTTCACGTAAGCCCACTGCTTACTGGTTGTCTCATCACGCTTTAGACGATCCCAAGCAAACTTGATGAGCTCCTTTCGGTGGGAAACAAGAGAAGTCTTGAGGTGTCGAATCAGAAGTGTTGCAAGCTGCAAGAGTTCAATGTGCAAGGCCTCATCGTAAGTCAAGAGAATTTCATCCCCAGGGTCCAGAAGGTCCTTCACGATTGTAGCAATCGTCTTGTCATCCAAGATTTCTTCTTGTGGCGTCTTGTTGAAAGCAGCGGTCAAAGTCGGAATCACAACCAACTGAAGCGCCTGCACTTTCAGTTCTTGAGGAACTTCTTTTTCTTTGCATTTGTTGATCATCGCAATGATCATGTTCTTTCTGTCCTTGAGCGTGCTTAGACGATAGTTGTTTGCAACTCCGTTGGCATAGTACTGCTTGAGGAAGGAGTAGTCGACAATGGATCTTACAGTAAAAATCGTCAACATGTTGAACAGCACGTCATGATCCGATGGCTGGGACCTAGCATAGCACAGCAAGCACTTGACCAATTTCTTTGACTCCAGCAAGTGATCGAGCTCCATGTTCTCTTCCTGCTGGATCCTGATCAACCGTTCCTTCGATTGCCAAATCCGAAGGAGCTGTGCAAGAATTTTTGGGCAATCTTTCAGCCAATCTGGGAAGAACTTGCACATTGTCCGCACGATAGTAACACCTTGGAAACGGAGCTCATTGTAGTTGGGATTCTTCTCATCGACAAGAAACGTAGCTGTCAATAGCTTGTCTTCCGATCTGTAAACTTCATCACGGAGCGGGCTTGCAACGTCTGATCTCAAGATGTACTGAAACAGCTTGCAGAACTGAGAATCTCGAAGCCTTTCGTAGAAGAAGTCAAGAGCTTCAGAGGGAAATCGGTTGAGAAACTTTGTGAAGGGTGCCCTGTAAGGACTTCTAACAGGGCTGAAATCTCCTCCAACCAACTTGTCCTCCAGCTCAATGGTGAGCTTAGCTAGCTTCTCCATGAACTTTTCTGGAGCTGGGGGAAGTAGGTGAAAAAGCTCGATGATCGCAGCAGGTATTTTGGGCTCTTCACTGGACTTGACAACCTTGGGAGCACCAGCCGGCTGAGGTTTTTCCGGCTCGGCCCACTTCTGCAGGTAGTCGAGGAGTTTCTCACCAAGAGTGACGTTGAACCAGCTGCTCAGAAGCTCCAAAAGCCTCGACAGACCCTCGAGCAGTGGGACATTCAGTTTGCGATAGTCTGCGAGATTGACCAAGACAGGGCGGAGGCTGGACTGCAGAAGGTCTTTGAAAGGAGCTTTCCCCTTCTGCGTCTGCAGCACCTCTGCTAGACCTTCCCTTGCAGCCACGACAGCGTCCGGAAATCCCTTTGTGATAATTTTGAAGAACATCAGGATAATCTGATTTCGTAGTTCCTGATGCGAACCTGCAAGGTTCACCTCGGCAGAAGCCATTGCAGCTCTCAAGAGTTGTACACACTGAGTTCTGAGAGTTCCCAACTGAGCGATCGCTGCTCCATCATGCTGATTGCGCATGCCCTGACCATCCTCCATCTCTGCATATTGCAAAGCATCTTGTAGGACCACATAGAGGTTGGACTCGGTGGCGAGGAATGGTGGCTTGAGAGAGAGGAAGTAAGTCAGTGCATCGAGATTCCCCACTTGCACTGGAAGAGGATAGTTTCCCAATCGCCGCTTGAAGATTTGACCAGTAATAGATGACTTCAGTGGTTCCAGCAATTCCGAGACAGCCTTATTCGTGATTTGAGCAAATTCTCCAAGAAGCTTCTGCACATTGGAGCGAACGGTGGAATTCGGAGCCGCTAGCTCCTGCGACAGATGTCCAACAACTTCTCTGAACACTGCTTTCTCCTTCTCGGCGAATCCCTCTACTTCAGAATCAGTCTTCGATGGACTATGACAACGATGCAAGACTGAGGCTAGGGTCGAGTAAGCTTTCTCTGAGGTAATAGCGATCTCATCTTGTGATGAATCCTTCCAGATAGCGAGCAGAGCACGGGCAATTCCCAACTCTTGGGTCAGGAGATTGGTGATGGGCATTCTAGATACCAGAATTTTCAATCCAAGGCAGCCTGCAACCTTTTGCCACCATGGCCGTTGGTAGCAGAGGTGACAGAGCATTCTTGTCAGCTGCTCATAGAGTGGCAGCTTCGAGGCTTCTTCCTGAGTGCAGAGCTCATTGATGATATCGAGGTAGATTTCAAGAGGCGAAGGGCGGAGATTGGTTTTCCGATCATTCCTCGGCTTCTGCTCTTGGCAGAGCGCATCGATGGCAACATCCAGAAGAACTGATTCACTGTGCACTGGCCTTGGAACACCTTCTTCGGGTGGTGGACAGAGAGACACAGCAATAGCAAAATATCTGCAGATTCCCTCTACCAACCCCTTCACCTCCTCGTGTAGGTCTGGATTTGCTGCAGCAAGGAAGATTGCACCAATCACCTTGCGACACACGGCTTGCTTCGCCAGGCCCTTCTTGTTCATCAACTCGGGGCTCACGTGGGTAAGGACTCCCTCAGCTGCATTCAATTCGTCTTGCAAGGAGAACGCGGGCTTCATGTCCGCGTCTCCTTCTGGGCCTTTGACATTCAGAGGTGGAAACAGACATCCCAGACAACTCTTTACGAGAAGAACTGCCTGCTTCTTGTAGTAAACGTCGACTCCCGGTTTTTCCAGAAGCGTCATTGAAGTCTTGACAGCATCATCAAGAGTCAACTGCACAACAGCAACACCAGCATTGCCTTTGGGCAATTGGATTGTCACACGAACACCGTCATCACCGTTCTCCTTGCCTTCAAGCGGAACCTGATCGCGCAAAAGTCGGCGATTTCGTCCTCCAAGTTTTCCAAGAATGCGAATGGCGCTCAATGCAAATTGGTTGTTTCCTGATTGTAGTTGCTTGTAAAGAGCAGGCATGAGATCATCCTTGACCGATTGCAAAAGGGGGTCAAGGTAAGCTGGCTGAAGACTCTCTACCCATGATTCCAACTTCTTCAGTCCAAGGTGAACCATTTCAGGGCTTCCGTTGAGAGCTTGAACCAAAGGTTTCATCAGCAGAGGGATGTGAGGTAAGAGGAAGTTCAAACGGGCAGGGACTGACAAGCACAACTCAACAAGCAACTCGCGAGTGTCATCCTCCTGTGCTTGTGTGAGAAGCTTACAAAGGTTTTCCAACAGGTTCTTCAGCAAGTGAATGAATTCCTTCTGCAGCATCTCAAACTTGCCACTAGATACCGATCGAAAAAATGTCTTCAACAGGAGATAATAACAGGTTGGCCTTTTCTCCTGCATCGCGTGCTTCAAACAAGCAATCACAATCGCACGAACATGCGCCCGCAAGACTGTCTCATTCTCGGGAAAATTCGTGACTCCATGGAAGATGATTTTGAAAAGGCTCAAAACCACTTGTCCCTCATGCTTATCACTGTTACTGAGTTCCTTAATCTTCGCAACCAGAAATGTAAGCAGGATGTCCGTGAAGGTTCTCGTCACCGTCTGATTTGTGATGAAATGCTGTGGGATTGCAATGCATACTTCATTCGAAAGAATGTGCTTAAAAAGAATGTGGAGGTTCAAAATAAATACATCTCGAAACGTTCTTTCGTCCAAAACAGTGAAAACACCCGCGAAAAGATCAAGAATTTCCTTTTCTTCCTTCGAAGGTGTTCCCTCTTCGGATCCATAGATACTAAAGCACTTCAGTCCATGCTTGAGAAGTTTTGCTGTGATTAGACATTCATGCTCTTGCATGCCTCTGGCAGATTGACCTTTGACATTCGACACACTCCACACCACGGTGCGTACTGCTACAATGAGCGTCTTGATCAACTGCTTGCAGTCTGTGATTTCCTTGTTGATATCGATCACAATGTCACTCAAAGACCCACTTCGAAACGGCATAAATTCCAATTGGAAATAGGGGGTATCATGTTTGTCTGTCTTTCTTGCCTCGCACAATTTCTTGGTGTACTCCTTCAGAGTTCCAAATTTCCTGACAAAAGTATCAAGAATTCGGACTAAGAGCTTTCGTCCCTTGACACTTGCTTCAGCTGCTGCTGCTGCTGCCGCTGTATTGGCCGACGGTTGATTGATCACCTGAGCCGCTCCAACCTTGTCTTGATCTTGATTGTGCTTGTGATAAATACCTTCCACCAAGTTCATTAAAAGTCGGATCGATGTTGTCTGCACAGTCAGAGGTAAGGAAGAATCATGAACGTTCCGAGAAAATAGATGAACAGCTTTGGATAATTGTGGCATAGTCAGCATCAATCGTACATGATGCACAACTTCTGCTAGCAGACTGTAAGCCAGTGGCCGAAGAGAGTCTCCTGCACCTCGGCTTGGCCCAACAAGCAACTTTTCATCCAAGAAAATATCCACATGCTTGAAAAAGCCCTCACGGAAATCTGTTGCTAGGATATGTCGTGTTGCAACCAAGAGTTCCTTGCGCACTGCAATACTGTCATGAGGACAGCTGACGAGCAACTGTACGACACTCAAGGGAATAATATCTTTGTGTGGTTTGACCCAGTCAGCAGAACCCCTCAGCAAGTATGTAAGAAAGCTCAGTGTCTTGACCTGTGCGGCTATGAAGTCAACGAAGAGAGATAATGTGGCTGGGTTTTGTCGGGCATTGGCAGGTGCTCTCAGATTGATGGCTTTCACCATTAGAGGAAGGAGCGTCTGTACATTCGTAGGTGCGTATGATTCGTAAAGCTGAAAAAGAAACATAACGATCAGAGGGCATTCTGTTACCACCTTGAAGGATTCTGTACTGCGCCTAACTTTTTGCTGAGGCTGACCCTGTGGGGAAGTAGCAAAAGCATCCTGCAGTGTTCTTGGAAAGTTCTGATACACCCTGGACACAAACTCCAAGAACGGTTGAACATCTCCTTCAAGAAGACCGGGAATGGTCTGGCCACCTTGAATACGCTGAGCCCTATAGGTCTTGTGCAAGTCAAGGATGATACGAAGTGAGATAACAGCATTGTCCTCATCATCGTTTTCCAGCAAGAACATGCAAAGCTTCAGCAACGTTGGGGCAAATGGCTTCAAAACCTCTGTTGTGGGAACGCGGTTCAAAATCTCCAACAAAACCGAGCGAGTCTTGTAGGCTGGTGATTCAGTGTTGAACCTCTCATTCGGTGGCGAGTAATACGGAGAATGCTCATTACTCGTTCCTCGAAGGTATGTGTCGAATGCTTTCACGAAATGCTGGAGAAAGTTTCCATACTCTGATGTCTGAACGATCTCAATGCTTTCCCTGATCTCCTGGGCCAGCTGAAGTCGATCTTTGGCAGGAAGATCAGGATCAAGAAAACGGTTTGCATGTGTTTCAAAGTTGTCTGTGAGCATGATGGCTTATGGAAGAAGTGTTCCTTCCCCAATCCTTCAGGCTCCAAGCACTTCAGAGAATGTACCTGCAAGTCAACATAGAGTCAGACAGCATGCCGGTTGAGAAGGTGGGGGGATAGTCAAGTTGGAGAGTGACGTAAGTGGAGGCAGCACGTGGAAAACATGTCAAAACTATGTCTTCTGTTCTTTTCAAGCATACAACAGGATTGAGAGATAATTCATTGCAAGAAAAAGAACGAATTCACAAGAGGAACACTACAATGGACAGGAAGAAAGAGAGAATCGACAAACACCAGGGGCATCGCATCAGCAAGGAACAAGCGGCAGCGGTGGGAAATGGTGGAAGAGGAAGAGAAGGTTGGGTATCACGAAGGGCAGGAAAGGAAGCGAGGGAGGATGAAACAAATCTTCAGAAGCAGACTGACTGCACGCACCTGATCCTCTGTCTTCCCTTCACAGTTCCTGCTCACGCTCCCTCGCCATCCCGCCTGGCGCCCCTCCCTCTGGAAGTTCCTGGGGTGAGGTATACTGTGAAGGGGTGAAGAAATATCTCGTAGGGTAGGGGTACTCGTCAAATCTCAGCTCGTGTTGCAATAGTAATCAATAATTCGCAATGTTTTGAAGTTTACTGGTAGAATTTGATGAAAAAATTGGATCTCACAGCCCATTCCTAGGGATCAATTGTTGGCGGGGGTAGGGGATTCATGGCATGGGGTGGGGGGTATTCAAAAAGAGTTGGGGGTGGGTCACCCCTGGCACCATGAGTCCGATTTCACCTCCTCGAGGTCATGGAATCTAGGGGTGGGGGTAGGGAAATTCTCCACCTTTGACAAACGTACCCTTACATAACGGTCTTAGGCATGAAATAATAACCGAAAAGTAACTTAATGTAACCGCCCCGCCTGTCGCACTTGAGTAAAAATATTTGGTGCGGAGCCATGGTGAAGAAGAAGTCGCTGCACGAGGAGCTCAAGGCGCTGCTGAGGTGAGCAGATGCGCATGATGATGTTCTTTTATGCTTTGATCTTGTGTCTTCTCTCTCTCCCTCCTCCCTACTCTCCCCCCTTCCTGTTCTTTTGTCTCCCATGGCTTGCCTCCACCCTGATGTGGTTTCTGCTTGCACGTGCGGCCCCATCTCTGCAGTGGTCCAGCACCAGCGGAGCAGTACGACCCCGACGCATTCGACGATCATCAGGCTGATCTAAAAGGCGCAGACGATGATGATGAGCTTGATGGTGAGTAATCTTTGTCACTGATTCGCCGACTTGCTGGAGCTCATGCCCTTCTTGCAGAGTTCGAACAAGTTCAGCCGAATGAGCGAGCCCAGAGGTGAGTTCTTAGCATTTCACTGCCAGTTGCTCGTTGTGACATGCATCTGCAGCGCCAAAGAGAAACTTCCTTACAGAGCTAGCATCGATATCGACGATGAAGAGTACTACCATTTGTATATCCCAATTCGAGTGTTTTCTCAAGGATTTGGTCAGGTACAAGGGCAAAGCTGTGTCAAGAAAACAAGTTTTTGGGGATCGAGGCGATGATAATGACGATGACGATGATGGCTTAGAAGATGAAGATGACAGCGATGCCAGACAGGTCAACAATGAACCTTTCGACTCACTTTAAAAACGCAATGCAGGATGATGACGATCGGAGTGATGAGGAGGAAGAAGGTGAGGACGAGGACGAGGACGAGGACGAGGACGAGGACGAGGACGAGGACGAGGAAAAGAAAGAATTAACCAGAACAGCTGAGGAAATCGAAGCAGAACATCAGGAGAATGTCCTGAAGCTTGTAGCAGTGCAGGTTTGCCTGGTGTCGAGTGTTGATGTCCATTCATTTTGTTGATAGGAAAAAGATCAAGACAAAGCTGCACATGCTAGAAATCAGCGCGCTTTGACAGACTCTTTCCTGGAATCAAGGATCAAGCTGCAAAAGCCACTCAGCTGGGCAGCTAGAATTCCGACCGATCCAGTCCTCAATTTCTTTGCATCCAACAATCCTAGAGTTGAAGAGCAACTTCGAGGCTGTTGTGAGGAAGTCATGAGTTTGATCGACGAATTGGTTTCTCTACGAGCTCTCTTGTAATTATGCTTAATCCGCCCCGTCACCCTATGACTCCCTTCGGCTCAGGTGGGAGCAAAACCCTCAATTACCCAAACCGGACGAATGGAGCAGGGCATCAGAAACCTTCACTTTTGACAGCTCACCAGGCCAGAAGCGAAAATATGCTGAGCACATCTGGGATAGAATCTCCGCTGCAGATTCTTCCTTGGAGCCATTTCGAGACATGACCATTGACAAGTGGAGCTCAAAGGTACCTTCATTTGCACACAACGTGTCGATTGCACGCTGATTCCTCAAACCACTAGGTGAAGCTCGGGCACGGAAGCGGAATCGGCAACCAATTCAAAGCTCTGAATCAATCTATCTTGTCTCAGACTCAACTTGTCATGCAAGACCTTGACAGGTGAGCAAAGTTATCTCTCTCCACCTATTGACGGAGCTCTCAAAGACTGGTCCGTCGAACTCAAGTGAAGAGGAGCTCTTATAAAGTATTCGGATCGGATCTGTCCATTAAGAAGTCCGAGGGTACAAAAGATGCTCCAGAAACTGCCGATGGACCAACAAACGACGAGAATGTGCAAGAGAGCGCGAGGAGATCACTCAAGGAAGAGGTCCGGCTGACCCCGCTGGCCGATCCTTGCTCATGCGTTCCAACAGTTAGATGAGGAGGCTTACGACGACACAGACTTTTATCAGCTGCTTCTTAGAGACTTGATCGAGTCAAGCTCGCAGTCTCAAACTGCAGAGCTGCAGGTGAAGAAGTTTGCAGATCAAAACTGTCGAGACAAACAAGAGTGTGCTGAAATGACTGCAGGCCCAGCTCCGTGCAGCAAGAAAGAAGGCAGGGAAATCAGGGAGGGTTGTTGATACCAAGGTATGCCTTTGCGGTGGTGTCCTGATATTGATGAAGAATATCAGGCGTCGAAAGGCAGGAAGTTAAGGTACGACATCCAACCCAAGTTGGTCAATTTCATGTTTCCACTGCCTGACAGGCAAGAACTTGATCCTTGAAAAAGCCTCAAGCTGCCAGCTGAACTGATTTCTGAACCTGCAGGCGCCCAGGATTTGCCGACTCGCTATTCGAAAATTTGTTCAAGTCATAAATGGCTCACTCGAAAACGGAGTTTCTCGGCCGCTGCAGCAAGTCAGTGTTAGCCTAGCAGGGGCCCGCCGGGCTCGGCGCAGCGCGGCGAGCCGGTACCCATCGTCCGAGTCCGCCCGGCCCCCGGCCCACCGCGGCCGGCGGGAACCGAACTTCGGCCCTAGAACACTCAGTGACTGTCACGGTTTTGTACGGCAGTAGTATATCACTTGAGTGTGGCAGTAGAGTCACTTGATTTGTACTCCCGTACAAAAGAAAATTTTAGTATTGCTTGAATGTGTAAAATTTAGGAGTCGATTTCATTACTTAAAAGAAAGAATAGTATGAAATATCTCAAAAATATTTCTAACACGTATGATATTAATAACTATATTAATTTTGTATACAGCAATGGGTGGACGGGTGGATATGCCCTATATAACCACGGGTAGTGGCACACATGTTGGCCCTTGGGAAATGATGGAACTACCGAAATGAAGGGAGGATAAGAATAATAAGGCGGAAATGAAGGATAAACTTAGATCCGATCTTGATTATGCAATTCCAAAGAAGATTGCAAAGAAAAACTATGATATGTCATGAAATGCTTGATGAAAGTGCGTGAACGATAGCACGATGTACTGAAATGAGGAAGATTGCACTAAGTGTAAAAATGAGGAAAAGCTATTTCGCGAGAAGTTGATATAGGCTGGAATGTATATTCCTAAGTGATATAGGGCAAGATAAGTTCGTACATTGGAAACTACAAGGTTTATGGATGGTTGAAGCTAAGAACAATTTCCTCGTGTCGGTTCTGGTTGGATCGTTCTATGTTTTCTAGTCTTGTGTGCAGCAAGGTATTCAATTGGAGGAAGGGAGGGGAGGGGTGGTGCGGGGATCACAAGCACTTCGTATTTCATAGTTTGAATGGCTGATTGATTAGTTCTATTTTCGCGTTGATTGGAGTTTTGAGTTTTCTTTGGCAGGTACTTGCGGTTTACCAGCACCAGCGATGTTCAAAACACATGCATCGAAGAAGATACTAGTAGCTGGTTTATCAATTCTTGTTTGTGCAATTGTTTGCATCACTCTTGTGCAATCAAGAAGATCCACAGGCACAAGTTCGCTTTTCCAGATTTTCACTGGTCAGGCTCTCATGTATGTTGTACCAGCACGTGTAAATCTTCAAGACTACTTTGAGTTCAGAGAAACATGCATGAAGGCATGCAACAATAAGGCGTCTGCAGCTGTGAATGAGTGCAGTGCTGACAATTTGGGACATTACTATCTCAAGTATCGGCAAGATTGTCTCAACGAACCGTGCGCTTGTGAAATGCTTTACATGAATTGCGGGTGAGTATTTGTTCTTTCTTCTTGTCGCTGGCTTCTAAGTTTTTGATTTTAATTCTTTTGTATCTATAGAGGTGCATACAAGACAAAGATTCATCCCACTTGGTACAAATTTGCACTTGAAGGAAAGTTGCGTTTTGTGTTAACAGCCTTTATTGCAGGGCAGCGGACGGAATCTGCACTTAGGTAGCTAGCGGAGACAGGCGAATTCTGTGTCAACACTATGAATCATTCATCATACGGCGTCGTTATCTCTGCATTTGACGGATCGCACTTGTTCGATTATCCGAAAACCCCACGGCTCTCAGAAGTGAGTTGTTTTAGCGAGAATATACATAAAATGTTTTTGCACGAAACTCTGTACCAACATCTCAACTCGACGAACAGTAAGATTATTTGACTATATACTGAAACCCTGCCTCAAGGCATTTCGAGGCATTTACAGCATGTTCTATTCTCGTTTCGATCTAGGCTCTGTACTGCCACGTCTAAGTTGGAGAATAAGTTCTTGAATCGCCCATCTGGAAAGATTGAGGAGAACAGGGACGAAGAGAAATATAGCCACGATTGTTGCTGGTTGTTGTAAAATGTTCTCAGCTGTTATCTTCATATTGAAGTCCTATTGCTCTTCTGATTGCCCCTGCATAAGCCAAGCAGCCCGCGTCGGATCGTTCCGCAAACCTTGCAAAATGAGTCATCGATTGACATTCATTGCTACCTATTGTCACAAACTATTTTTCAAAATAAGTCATTGCCCTCTGCGCATCAACCAAAGACATGTAAATGTGTCTAGCGCGGCAAGCACAGAAAAGAAAATGAATCGCTCTGATAAGTGAGGTATGTGTGATTATACATATGCTCATCGCCACATATCTATAGAAAACACACGCTACACTCAGAAAGGATGATTGGAAGGCACAGAGAAAGAAGAGTAGAGAACCATAAAGAGTGATGAACTTTCATCTATATACCCTGCATTCGAATCATCTGAAACAAGACAACACCGCCCAATTGGGGAGAGTGATGAAGACGAAAAAATCATTTGTCGCTTGAACACGAGTGAGGTTTGCAGAATTGTTTGCCCGCCCTCCTGTGCATGGAATGTTCGAAGTTTTAACTTAACTTTGAGTAAAGACTTTTGAGAAGTAGCCTTGTACCGGCGGGCACGTACCCCGGCCGCCGGGCGCCGCCGGCGGCCGGCCCGGGCTAAATGCCGGACTCCGAGGCTCCGAGGGCCCGGCGGCCCGGCTAGGATCCCGGCCCGGCCCTCACGGCGGTCACCGGGTGCCCGGCCGGCTGCGCCCAGGTCAGCCTGAGTTTCCCTATCTGTTTCCCCGCGCGGCCGTGAGTGGACTCCGGCTCGGAACTCTTGTTCCCGGGAGTGCGAGAGGAACTTACGTAAAACCGTCAGACAGCGGGCGGCGGTCAGCGGCCCCCCCGCGGCGGCCCGGTACCGTTACACTGTACGGTACAGTGACGGTAGTACCGTACCGTGAGTACCCGGCGGCCGGGCGGCGCAGTGCCACCGCCGCCGCAGTGCCCCGGTGCCAGTGTACGGTACGGTATCCGAAAGGTTATCCGTGAAAGTATCCGGGAGGGTATCCGAAGTACGATAGATCCCAGAGCAGAGCATGCAGGGGCCCGGCGTTGGTCCTGCTGCTCTTGTTCCTGATCCTCCTCTGGTTCCATTGTTTCCTCCCTGGGATTTCATCCGGGCTTAGTGGTCAGCCCATCCTCCCCTCCTTTTCTTTGCCTTCCTTGTCTTCTTCTTTTTGCTCGCTCGATCCTTGTTCTCCTTCGTTCGTGCACCCTCTGTGCTTGATCTCAGCTCGATTTCTCTCGCTCCCAATTGTTCTCGAAGTTTGAAGATGCCGATGGACAAGAAACGTAAGGCTCATCAGCCAAAAGCTTCGGACCATATTCAACTGCACGAGCGCTGCTTCCGGATCCGCTTTACTGGCGAGCTGTACTCAACTTACGAGGAGTACATAGAGCAGCTTTTGGCATATCAGAGCAGAAACTGGTCTTGTGGTCTGACGGGAAAGAGCAAGTTGACGTTTGAAGAAGCACAGCTGAGCGAGAGGACAGCACAGAAAAAGGTTGACGATGCTTTCCCGGAGTTCTTCGTAGAGCCCCTCTGTCGGATGGTTCATATGTCGCAAACCAGGATGGACGACCTCATCGAGTTTGTCTATAAGAGACTTCAGTGCTTCATGAACGGAGAGGAGGTCGAGTACTTGCGCGGAGATCAGCCTCCTCTCTTCGCTCGCATCGTCAGACCTCTGGACGTCGAGGATGACTTCTGGACTAACATCGATGCGGAGGCTCCCTTGCCCACGAGGTACGTCAATGTTGTGCTTCCTGCAGATCTGTGATGGTTGATCTCTTGTCAAGATACCTCGTGGAGCTGCTGTCAGAGGAGGGGCTGCCAGTCGCTGATGAGATGGAGCACGACCATGCTGAGAGCCTGAACGGGATGATGGACGAACCCGGCGAGACCGAGGAGAATGAGGCCAGGTACCTGCAGATCGAGGCTGCTCAGCTTCGCCGATTGAAGTCGCGGAACATCTCGAGGATTACTCTCAAGTCAAAACTCAGAACCGTCGGGTCCAGGCAAAGCTACTGGCAAGCTCCCTTCCTCTGCGAGCCCGAGCTCGTGTCAAGGTTCGGTCTTCGAGAAGAGCTCCCCCCCCACATGCGGCGCCTGCAACTTCAGTATGAGGTGCGGGTCGGCAAGCTTGACAAAGAAGCTCTCGCTGAGGTTTGCTGTGCCTCTCTTCCACACACTCTCAACATGGCTTGCAGTTGGGCGTTGATCCGTCCGAACTTGTGAAGAAGAAGAAGAAGAAATCGACAGATGTAGACAAGGATCCTCAGAAGATCATGAGGTGAAAGACAACGAACCGCTTGTTGGGTTGTGATGATATATTGCAGGCAAGTTTTGAAAACTCCAGCTCAAAAGCGCATCTGGGAAATCGGAAGGACTGGGAAACTCAGCACCACGTCGGATATGTCAGTTTTTGATATCGCCCAAAGCTTGTATCAAGACTGGTTACACGGTGACGGGAGCAGGTGACGTTTGATCCTTACATCCTGTTCCTCAGAGCCTCTTCCGTTGTCTGATGAGTTGAGGCAGGGGAATAGAAGCTGGCCTGACAGCAGAGCAATACTTCAACGATGTAGGTTCTTCTCTAGTTTGACAACACATTGACTTTGATGCGGAAAGATCTACGAGATGATTCAGTTGGTCTTGTCTGTGTGGCCTCAAGATGCTGAGAAATCTTTCTTGCCGTTTCCGGTCTCTTTCTCTCCCAGTTCTGCCCTTGAGATGATTCTTCTTGCAGGTGGAAGACACTATGCTCCCGCCCGATCCTTCGCTGGAGGAACGGCCGCAACCCATCACGTCACTGTTTGTTCCCGACAGCGATCTTGTTCTTCCTTCTGAGCTGCTGGGGAAGGTCATCGACTCTCCGTCCTCCTGAAACCCTTCAGACTGAACAAGTGGTACAGGTTCTTCAGATCTGGGACTTCATTCAGCGATACCACAAGATTGTCAGATTGTCTCCCTTCTCCTTGGAGGATCTGGCAGGTGCTGTGTGCTACCCGACCGAGACTCCTTTGGCAACAGAGTTTCATTGTGCGTTCTTGAGATATCTGCTGCATCAGTCCATGGAGGTGAGTGTGAGCCCAAGCGCTGGTGATGGCTGATCCTGAGCGTTGCAAGGCCCAAGCGAAGGAGGATTCAGATAGAAGAGAGTTCAAGCGAGAGGACGAGGACTATGACGAGAACGCGTGGTCTGAATCGACGATCCCCATGCCCAAACCTTCAGCTGTCGATGAAACTCGATGGTCGAGTACTCTAGTAGCATACCTGCAAGCCAGCAGATCGACAGCCGTGGACATTCTTCCCTCCCTTCCCAGCGAAACTCTCGAGGTGACAAGTAGAGTCTTCGGTCGTCAGCTCAACCTCCTGGTGCTGCAGGTGCTCGAGACTGGAGGATTTGACGAGATGACGATGCAGATGCGGGTGGACGTGATGTGCCTGCTGTGCGACGACGCCTGCGCCACCTCGGGGATACACCAGCAGCTGAATCAGGTGAATGTCAATATGCGATGCTGGGAGACCCAAGCGATGACGTGGCTGTCAGGCGTTTGAAGAGACGAGGGAGATTCAGGTGATGAGGTTTCCGCGCAGCTCCTGGTGGGCTGACGTTCTCTTGCTCACAGAAAGGGCTGCGAGAGGAAGAGCAGAAGATAAAAGAGCAGAAGAAAGAAGTGAGACGCGCTCTGAACCTCCCAGGACGAGTGACGTGGAGGGCGCAGGCAAGACTGGAAAAGCAGCAGGCGAAGGAGAGGATTCAGGCGGAGATTCAGATCCAGATGGAAGCTAAGGGAGAAGGAGCTGAGAAAGAGGAGGAGACGAAAAAGTCAGGAAAGCAGAAGAAATCTCAAGAGGAGGATGAGAAGCAGAAACAGAAGAAGGTGCATTCTTCACGTTTTGAATTCTGGCTCAGAAATTTCAAACAGATTGCAGCAGCAGCTAAGCAAGCTCTTGCTGAGCAGAAAGAGAAGGACGCGAAGAAACAGGAGCAGGTGGAAGATAGTGAACAACGACTGTCATGTCTCATGTCAAGATGTCTCAGGAGCGCGAGGAGCAAGAAAATTTGCGAAGGAAGCTCGAGAGTGAGTTGGAGAAGCACGTGGTCCGGGTGCTTCCTCTAGGGTTCGATCGCAGCAAGTGAGGAATCTCATTCATGTCCCCCTTCTCTGACTGCTTCCAGGCGGTCCTACTGGCTCTTCTCCTCCAAGGACTCGCGGATCTTCGTCTACGATCCCACTAGCTCGTCGCAGTCAAACAGCAGCGAGGAAGCGACGGACGCGAGTGTAGCAGATGCCTCCATCAGTGAGTTCTGGGGATACTACGACCGCACTGATCAAATCGACGCGCTCCTTGCCTTCCTCAACCCACACGGTCAGCCCCTCCTTTCCGTCTCCGTCTCCGTCTCCCCCTTCTAGTTCCTGCATGTTCCTTCATGTTTCTCCCTGTCTTTTCCTGCTGCTGCTGCTGCCGCCCTGATTGTCCAAGGCTGCAGGGTTGAGAGAAGGAGAATTGTATGAAAAATTGTCCAATCGCTACATGACGGTGACCAACAATATGCGAAAAAAACTGCAGGAGGCCAACAAGCAGGAGGTGAATGGCTGCTGCTGCTTCGGCTTCTCCTCCTCCTCCTCCTCCTCCTCCTCCTCCTCCTCCTCAACACCCCCATCTCTCGGGTCATTTTTTTGTGCTGCAGATGGCGAATGCTGCTCGACGATCAGCAAGGATTGCGTCTGACAGCAGTGAGTGATATTGCCTTGTCGTGCCTCGCCCCCCTCTCTTCCATCGCTCCGCTGTCCACCTCCTCCCCTCCCCCCTCCACTTCCTCTCGTGATTTTCCCGAGCAGCAGTCAAGCAGCAGTCATTCTTGCTGTACCGCAATCACTTGAAGGTCGACCCTTCCAGGTCTGCTGGGCCGCTGCTGGGCTTGTGCTGGACTTTCGTGACCGTTGATCGCAGGGAGAGATCGAAGAGGTGATATCCGGCGATGCTTCAATAAATCAAAGGACGAGACAAACCAGCTGAGATGATGCGGCCCCTTGAGCCTTCTGATCGCAGAGACCGCGTGCTGCCGCCAGTCCTCGATGCTCGCTCCTCTCCCCGCCCTCCTGAAGCGGCTTGGAGGCTGGCAGCTGAGGCCGAACGCGGCTTCTCCGCTGCTCCCTGCTGTACGTCTTTAGAATGAGCAGACTCGGGCTTCTGCTCCACCTGCTCCTCCTCCCGACGGAAGACGTTCGACGGCCAAACTTTCCTCATCACTGGCTGCCCACTTGCGATCAGTCGAGCTTGGGCACCAGGACCGGCAGGATCGTCTCACCACAGGCTTCGGCGCCTTGGGAGCTGAGCAGCACGCGCAAGTCACAGGCTACAGAAGACAGGGAGTGAGCTTACTGTGCTCTAGCTTGAGGTACCTCCTCCTCCTCGCAGGCACGAACGGTTGCTCATCCTAGGACGCAGTTCAGCTGCTGCTGAGACGTTTTGACCTTCACCAGCTGCTGAACCCAGTCCGCGCATCTTCCTGCCGCTTCCGCATCTCTCGGCATGCCGCCCGTAGAGCTCCTCGTGGGGGCGGCAGACTGGGCTGTGAGACATCAACAGGGAGGAGGAGGGACATGGCAGTACCATGCTGTAGGCTCAGCCTCTTCTCGTTCTCCTTCTGCTGCTGGGAGAACCAGTCCATCCGTTGCTGCCATGGCCTGAGTTCCTGAACCCACATGTCCTCTCCACCTGCGCGATCCTCTTGCTCGCCGCGTTCTGGTAGCGATAGAAGCCTGTCCGATCCCATTCCTCCTTGCGTTTGGCTGCCTGAGGAATCGAATTTTGACCATTCTCCTCCTCGTCCTCTGCCTGACCTTCTCATCTGCCAGCGCCTTGGCTTTCTTGGCTTCTTCGATCTGATGTGCTGCGAGTCAGGCAGCGAGTCTGCATGGAAGCAAGAAGCACTCTCCTTCTTCCACTCGCTCTCAGCCAACCTGTTCTTCTCCTCCACTCTCAAAACATCTGTACATCTATCAAAGACATGGCCCGTGGGAACTCTGTCGTGGACTTACAGCTCTGGATCAAACCTTCAGGATCTGACCTGTGCGTACGTGATGAGTCCAAAGTCATTGATAAGCTACTTACTTCTTGGTACCATCCCAGTTGCCCCCGTACTTTCCGCGATTTGCAAAGTTAACGACGGGCTTGTCCTTTTCGTCCATCTCATTCTTCTTGTCCTGTCAAAGCTTCACCATCTTCTGATTTCAAACCTTGCAGGCAAAGCAAGCAATGCCTCCGTCCTCCTCCCACCCAACTCCTCTCCCCCTCCATGCCACATTCTTCTTTCCAGTAACTAGTCCATGCTCTCGACCTCTCTCCTCATCACCTTGCTCTCTTCGTCTTGTCCTGCCTTCGTCTTCGCTTGGCTTCTCCTCCTCTTCTCCGACGGCTTCCCGATTCCCTTGCCTGCTTTCCCCGACATTTTCGGAAATCCGTTAATTACCCTCATCCCCGCTCCTTCTCGGCCCACGAAACCTCTTGACGAAACCTGCCACGAAACTCTGGACGAAATTCAGTCGCACGACTTTGTCAGTTCGCTCTTCTTCTCTCAGCTCTACTATCATTCTCATCAGTTAGCTCTTCTTCTCAGCTCGTCCTCAGTTCTTCTCAGCTCTTCTTCTTCTCAGCTCTTCGTCTTCACAGCTCTTTCTTCAGGCCCCGCTGGCCCTCTGCCGTCGGTAACCTCTTGGCGTCTTTATTGCAACGTAAGAAACCTTCGCTCTGACTCGCTTTCCTTGTCCCGCTCCTCCTCATCGAGGTACTTCTGCAGCCCACACAGAATCTCCACGTGCTCCTCCACCTCCTGTCGGGTTGTGACGTCAGCAATCAGCAAGTCCTCTGACGCTCAAACCTCCTCCTCCACCCTCGATCTCTTCGGCAGCAGGCCCACAACGCTTGCGGCAGCTTGTCGACAAGCTTCGACCAGCTGTCTGCTGCCTCCCTGCACAGCATGTAGGGTATGAAAGACGACTCTTCCCTCCTCCCACGAGACGCTCCTGTCATGCCTCTCCTTCTTCATGCACATCGACTCCTGGAGGGCTCCCGAGGGCTCTGGCAAGCAGAGGGTCACACGTGCAAGCGAGGGAGCAGCTACCAGCAGCGGAGCCCCGCAGAAGGAGGGGGGTGAGGATGACAAGGCACGTGCGCTGCTCCTGTTTCAGCGCGTCCTTGTATTTGTACTGCGAGGGATCGTCGAGATCTAGGCGCTCCTCCACGCTCAGCACCAGCTCGCGCCATAGCTGGGACAGACGTCAGCAAGCTGAGAAGCTCTCGAGGCCCAAACCTCCATCCTCTGCTGCTCGTCCCCGTAGAGCCTGCTCTCTGCTGACTCCCTCAGCGCTCTCGTCGCCTGAATCCTAACCTTGAAGTTCTTCCCCTGCTCCAAGTGAGGAGACGACCACAGTCAAAGCTCCCCCCCCGCCCCCCCCTCCTCCTTCGCCCTCATCCCCCCTCCTTCCTCGTCCTCGTCCTCGTCCTCGTCCTCGTCCTCGTGCTCTGACCTCGAGTGCTGCGGCCTTGAGAGCATGGATGAGCGTTCGTTCGCTCATGTGATTCGCAATGCTCGACTGCAGGATCAACTTTGCCGCGTGACAAGCGTTCCACCGAACCTGCTCAGTAAATTCACGATACTCCTCGTCCTCGTCCTCGTCCTCATCCTCGTCCTCTTTCCGGTTCGGTCATCCTGAATTTTCCCCTTCCTTCCCACCCCTCCTCCATCACCTTGACAGAGTAGTCTGTTGATTTCACCATGCCGCAGATGGCAGCCTGTGGGGTGCGAGTAAGAAGGGAGGGAGAAGGGGAGGAGGAGGAGGAGCTTACTTCGATTCTGGAGCTTAGGTTGGATGCTGCCTCCTGTCATGAAGCTCAGGGGGAAGGGGGAGGAGCAGCCGAACGAACCGAGGACGTGGCTCCCCTGACTAGCTCGTAAAAGTTGGAGCAGCTGGCCACATATCCCAACGCTCGAGCTCCGTACACTCGAATCTGCGGAGGATAATCAGATTGTGAGAAGAGAGGCGGAAAGAGGCGGAGGCAGAGTGGAGAGCGAGAGAGGAGAGGAGAGATGAAGGGAAGGAGATGGGGGGAGAGCGGAAAGAGGAAGGAGGAGGGAGGAAGGAGGAAGGAGGAAGGAGGAAGGAGGAGGGAGGAGGGAGGAGGGAGGAAGGGGAAGTCAATTTGCCTTGTCATTGTCTGCCATGGCACGCAACGCGATCTCTGCCAGACGAGCGAGAGTCAGACCAGCATGGTGCTTGAGGTATTCCTGCGATCCTCAAGCTCAGTCGCGGGGAACAATGGGAAGCAAGAGAGGCGTGAGGGTAGAGGGGGGAAGAGGAAGGAGCGGGGAGAGGAAAAGAAAAGGGAGAGAACGAGGAAAGAGAGGAGATGGGAGAAGTACCGATGTAGCGAGTTGCTGGATGATAAAAGCTCGCTCGCAGATGTTGGCAAGAGAAAAACAAGCCTGAGAAAACAATGGTGAGGAAGATGAGGAAGAGGAGGAGCAAGGAGGAGGCAGTGGAGGAACGGAAGAAGTTGTTCGACCTTGATCCGCACAGCGAGGGTGGAATCATGAGAACATTTCTCGAGGACATCAGAAGCCTTTTGAGTCAAATTGTCAGAAGCAACGACGAGAACAATGTCGACAAGCTTGACACTTATGAGAGTTATGCCGGTGATGTTAGAGATGATCGAATCATGCTCAATCATAAATCGTGAAGATCACGATGTTGATGCAGGTAATATCATGATGAAACTCATTGAAAATAATGATATCATGATCATGATTATTACTGATGGTGATGATAATAATGATAGTGACATAATCGAGGTATTGATGATAATCATGATGCTGGTGGTATCGGAGATGATGCAGAGAAAAGAAAATTCACCTTGATAAGGAAATTTACATCTTCACGGAACGGAGTTACCTGCGACAAGATACCTGCGGCCTCTAGCATGAGAAGGAACAGACGAAGGAGGAAAGGGAAGAAGAGCAAAACAGGAAGGGAGGGTGAGCAAACAAACTGGAAGGGCCCAATTGCGGAATGCGGAAGGGAAGGGAGAGGAGGATGAAGATAGAAGAGAAGAGCAGAGGAAGACGAGGATATCAGAGCAAGGGAGTCAAGGAAGGAGGAGGTGGAGGATCAGTCAGGAGAAGGAGGGAGGAAAGGAATGAGCAGGAGGTCAACCCAAAGTCTTCAATGCTGCTCCTCGGGATGCGCTATCGTTCGCATCGCCCGGCCTTGCACTCAACCAAACTTCTTGTAAACATCGAAGAAAACCCTGAGAGAAATCAAAATTACTTCGTGGCTGCAATTACAACTCATGTTCATATTCCAATCTCTATCGCCCTCTCCCTCTCCCTTCACTAAGTCTCCTACCTTGTGCTCCACTGGAAGAAACGCGACAGCATTCATCGCACTGTTGGACTGGTTTACATCAAAAGATTGCTCACACTCTCTCGTTACCTGGCACGGACAGCAGCAACAGTGTCTTTGAACATCGTGCTCAGAATATCGACGATTATCTGATAGTGCCAACAGATCTCCTCATCACCTAGCAAGGCTCTTGGCAAGTTTCACCTTGTTCCAGATGTCGTCGGGCAATGACTTGACAACTGCAACGAGTGACATGAGGAACAGCGTTGATCTCGCAGGATGAAACCAATTCTCTCATCATCTTTCGATTTCACATTCCTTGTACTCTGAGGAGACTGCAGAGTCTGGAGGAAGTTCGATCAGCTCGTTGCCTGTAATGCGACTTTGTCGTCACCTCCTCCAGCTCCTCCTCCTCGTGATCTTCTCCAGCCCCGACGAAAAATTCAACGAGCTGGAACCATGATGTCGTCATAATCGTCATCGTCGTCGTATTATCATCAATATTATCATATTCTCCATCATCAGTCTCATCATCATCATTCTCATTCTCATTCTCATCATCATCATCATCATCATCGTTGATATCATCACATCATTGTCCATAATTTATCGTGTCTCATAAGAACAATCATCGTCCTCATGATCATTTCGTTGCACACTTGCTCGTACTCGTTCTTCTGTTCCTCGTCCTTTTTCTGCCCTCTACCAATGGGTCCAGCACACACATTTTACACCCCATCCTGGTGCCTCACTGCCTCTTAAGATCCCTCCATCCTCCTTCCTACTCCTCCCTTCCTACTCCTCCTCCCCTTTCCTCCTTTCTCCTCCTCCTCCTCCTCCTCCTGTCTACGTCTGCATCACCTTGGCGATGTGTGTGCGGATGGGAGGAGGAGCAGCAGCGAGTTGGCAGGTCACGATATCTTCAAGTCTCCGCCACTCCGCCGTCAAGATGTCGTTGTCGTTCCTGTCGCTTCCTCAATCTCCTGCTCCTCTCGCTGCTCCCTCACCTCAGCACTCCCGCCAGCGCTCTGATCGCCTCGATCTTGACGGGGTTGGCGTCTCCCTACGGGCCCGAGGGTGAGAATGGACCAGGCGACGAGGAGGAGGAGGAGGGAGGGAGTGGTGGCGAGGGGGGAAGGGGGAGGGGGAGGAGGAGGGGGAAGAGGAGGAGGAGGAGGAGGAGGAGGAGACAAGGTGTATTTGAGGGGAGAAAGTAGAGGAGGAGACCGTGATCCCGCGGATGACGTCCACAAGGTCGTCGATGATTCTCTTCAGCTCGCTGCTGTCTGACCTCCCTTGCGCCTGCTGCTGCTGCTGCTGCTGTCTGCTCCTCTCCTTGATCTTGGACGTGGACCCTCTGAAGATTAAAGTGAATGAGCGAGTTGGAAGGACGCGAGGGAAGTCAAAGGGGCCGCGATGCAGGAAGCGACGACCAAGGGAGAGAAGGAGTAAGAGGTGATGGCAATGATGGTATAAGGTGAAGAGGGAGGGAACCGGCTCTCCCAGTCGGCCGAGCTTTCCTTGAGCTCTGAGATTGAGATTTGATTCTCCAAGATGGTTGCAAGGCAGTTCATGCAGGCAGTGCGGAGGGAAACGTCCTGCCGTCTCTCCTTGTCCTGAGGGATGGAGGAAGTAACAAGGAGGAGGAGGAGGAGGAGGAGGAGAAGGAGAAGGAGGAGGAGGAGGAGGAGGTGGTGGTGGTGGTGAAAGAGGAGGAGAGGAGGAGGTGGTGGTGGTGAAAGAGGAGGAGAAAGAGGAGGACGAGGGTAATGATGATATTAATCAGGGAATTCGGACAGGGAGGGAAGTAAGAATTTAGGAGGGAGAAGGAAGGAGTGGAAGGAGCAAGTGAGGATAAGAAAGACGAGAGAGGAAAGAGGAAAAGTCTCAGCAGACGCACTTCAGCTGCTTCTGTTTCTCACCTCGCAGTTTAAGACTGACAGCATCGCACGAGCCCCGAGGGAGAGATAGCCTCTGGGGCAGGTGAAAGGTGAGGAGCAGAACACAATGAGATGGTTCAGACATTTAGGACACACTCATAGCTCATCAACGATGATAAGCGCAAACATAGCCATGATATCAAAAAACACAATTAAATTCACAACATCGACAACATACAGTAGCACGATACCATCAACGAACATGGTAACTTCAACCATTGTTCACAAAAATCGACAACAACATTTCCGCGCATCATTGTGAAATCGACAACCTCTTGAGCCGCTTGTAGGGCGCGTGAGTGATCAGGGCAGTCAGAGCCTTCACGATCTGCTGCTAATTCACTTCCTCCCCTCCCCTCCGTTCCCCGTCACGGAGGGTTTCCTGTGGTGGGGGGAAATTGTGGTGGCGGGTTTATGCACACATGGGTCGAGGCCACCTTGTTGGGTGTCGG